TCCTTTAATTTTGTCAACTGACAAAGGGAGAGAGAGAGAGTAATTCCAAATTGTATTTAAATAAGCCAGTGAAATGCCTATTTTTTCATTCGATTGAGTTGTGTCTAGACCGGAAATGAAAGAACATTATTGCCAGAGAGCTCATGTCAGGTGTTCTGGGAATGTCTTTCACTGAAAATGAAATGTAAACTTGCCGAATTATTCAAACCCAGTGCCCCCTTTCGCCCTCTCTTTTCTAGTGCTTAGCATAATTTAAATAATTTTTTCGGCCAAAAAAATAAAGTAAAAACGAGATGGGAGGGAAGGACTTAACGAAATCCGCTTAACTCAGACGCCCGGGCTTAAATTTAAACTCTCGCCTCCTCGATCTGATTTCTTCTTTTTTTGCTTTGCTTTTCTATCAAAATAGTTGCTGGCATTATCGGGGGGCTGGTATTAGAGCTGGTTTTCTGTCATGGACCGAGCATTTCCAATCAATTGAAATTCAATGCTCCAGTGCAGCAGCAGAAGCAGTTAGAGTTGGAGGTTAGGATGGGGGGCCAAGCGGAAACGGAAGTGGAACTTTGGACATGCAATTTAAATTCAATTTTACACACAAACAGCAAAGTGGGGAGCAGGTGGTAGTCCGGGGTATATCTCAGTTCCGAGCTGCTCTTCCCGCTTTTATGACAAGCGGACTTTCATTCGATTTGGCCAGAACGTGTCCTGGCAATGGACAAAAAGGGGGTAGGTTAGGGGATGGGTTAGGGATTTCAGGAATGAAATCGCTGCGTTACCTTTATTAAATCTTTGGGGAGAGTTAACAATGGTTGTTATTCCTGTCATTCGGCTGGATTAGAGGGTATTAAAATGAGTGATTTTCGTTGAATAATATATCTCTTAAAGTATGTTCATTACTAATGAGGTTGACCAACACTTAATTGATACATATTCACTTTGAACTCTTTTTCAACTCATTTTCCTTGAATCCTTTTTCCCCCGAACCCTCTATTTATATTCTCAGTGCATTTGCCGAGCTGTCACTATGTGTACTCTATTTTATCTATATTTTTGCTGCTGTCCCTGTCGCTTGTTGCGCTTGCATTTCCATTGAAATTGAAGGCACCATCATTAAATTTCCAATGTTTATCCCGGGCGTCGCCTGCGGAATTCGAAAAACAAACCGCATAGAGAGACCCGTCTTTCTTGGCTCTAATATATACAGACATACATACACACTCGGATAATATAATGCCACAAACAAGTCTCTATACAACTGCTAAGCGGATTGGGTTACTTGCCGCGTCTAATATCCTTGAATGGCGACAATATGGGCTTTGGTCCTGCTGCTCCTTTGTGATGGGATTGACTTAATGCGAACTTGGCAACGTGGCAACTTGGCTGGCGAGTATAAATAGATCAGTCGCCACACATCTGCCATTGATTTAAGCTTCTTCGCAGGACCCTGCACTAGGAGAAACCATATACAAAGTTAGATGAAACAATTGTGCATTAAAAAAAAAGTACAACAAACGAAACGATAAGCAAGTAACTTTTATTATTAAGCAAAGTCATTCGAAGTTAATTTAGTTACACTATTTTTACCTCTAAGTCTATGATAGATTTTTGTTCCTGTGTATCAATTACCAATTGGCATTCAACACATCATCCCACGGCTGCTGCTGGCCGTGTAAATCAGGCTAATTAAATCAGAACGCGGCATTAAAAGTTTATGGTGGCCAGGACACCGCCAGGACACCGCCAGGACACCGCCAGGAGAACGATGCTGGCAGAGAACATTAATTTAATCATTTGCCATAAATTTGCATTTATGACGCGTCTTGGGCACGTTGTCGTGGCAATTCATTTGCCGGTCAGCGATCCTGTCATCTCGCAGGACTCCTCGCTGCCTCGCTGGCTTGCTGCCTTGCCATGGCATATTAATTAAAGTGTCTCCGCTAATGAGTTAGATTAAAGCGGACGAACTGCGTCGCTTTCATTCCAAGCGAGCGTGCGTGTAATTGGCAATATCTGTTGGCCAGGACAGCAAAAGGGATATATATATATGTTTGTGTGTGTCAAGGATGTGCGGATTTCATTAAGCTTTTTATGCACGATGTCGCTTAATGTTCCTGGGCTTTTCCCTGACCAATTTCTTGGGCTTGCTCGCAGCAAAGTATGCTACAATAAACTTGATTGTGTTGCTCCTTCTTTTTGTAAGAAAATTATGCCCCATGAGTCACAGATTTATTTGTGGATTTAACACAGTTTTATTGGGGGTAGAATATTGCCAGCAATGTGTTTGTATCTTACGTTGAACGTGGCTTAATCTTAAGCCAAAATAAGAATTTCAAAGGACATTATACTAGCTTCCAATATGATTTCTCGTTTTAATGTTTCATTAAAACTACTCAAAATGAATGTATTTTTTCGACTTTTTGTTATTCTTATAATTTGATTGAGCTGCTTTCTTGCGTAAATAATTTAAATTGACGAAACTTTTTGCACTCAAAGGAAGCCAATGCTTGGACAAAAATCAACAAGAATTTCTTTTGCTAAGAATCGCAAATGAAAAAGAAGGCAAAGAGCAAACGAAAAAGTATATACAGTCGAGCCATATATCAGAATTATTCAGCAATAACTATGGAAATGTTGATAAACACAGAGACAGAGAGACCGGGAGCTGCAGCTGATAAAATATAAATAAATTCGTACATTAAATGTAAACTTTCTCCGCCCGGCATACATAAATATTTCATGCCAGTCCCTGAAACATTTACCAAACAGACATTATTAATACTAATTTATACACATGTACAGGGACGAAAACGAGAAGGAATACCAGGACGACTGTCACTTCGAGTGCGTCTCGCAATCTCTTTGCGGCAGTTGGCTTTTTAAATGGCCTACACAATTGCCTTGGCTTACAATAGGGCCGCCTTAATGTGCCGAATTTGTCTTGCCAATTGTGTGTATGTGCTGCTGGCCGCATAAATGTTTTATGCGGTTACATTCGACATTTATTCGCTTGACAAATTCTCACATCTGTCACTGGAAAGTCCCTCGCAAAGCCATATAAAGTGAAATTCTTGGACTATTGATTTTTGGAGAAAATTTAATTAAGCCTGCTCCAGTCTCGCAGAGCCCATATATATTACCAATAAATTTGTGTGTGTGCCAAAACCATAATCCCCGGTCGTATCTATAGCTCTGATAAATCGAAAAGTATGCAGTTTGTTCGGACAGACAAAGGATGTGCGAGGAAATGCTAGCAGCATCAGTTGCACCACAATCCTGGCTACAGGCTGTAGGCCACTAAATTGTGGCACTCCAGCTGGCACTCGGCCATCTGTCCCGGTTATAGTTGTGCCCCGCTCCCCGTCCTGGCCCCGGGCTCAGTGCCGGCTTAAAGCCTTTGCGCGCATTGTAAATCCGGAGGCTGTGGCTACTGCGGCCTGACTGACTGATGGCCAGGTGAAAAGCCTTCAACGCAGGGATTAAGCTCAGCTGGGTTTGGCAATGGAAGCACTCGGAAAAATGGATATAAGAAAAACCGAAAAGTGCAGGGTTTAATTAAAAAACTAAGCTTGAAATACACATAGAAATTAGTTGGGCAAAATTGTTCCTTATTTTAGGAAACTGTTTTTTTTTTCTGCTCGAAAAACATAAAATCATTAAAACAAAAACATTTATAACTTGGTAAAAAAAACTCATTAATTTCAATTCGGAAAGCGTTTCTTTGTTGGGTTTTAAAAGGTTAATAAATCTGCATACTAGATTTAAATTAAAAAAAAATCAAAATTTTAATAAATTTTTGACAATTTTAAGGATGTAACCCCTTATATCATTAAGAAAAAAAAAAGAAAAATTTGTTTTTCTTCCTGAAATGGCTAGATTAACTCGATTGTTGATGCTGATCAAGAATATATATGATTTATAGGGACGGAAATGAAAACTCACAGCGTTACAATTTAAATACCCTTCAAGGATATAAAAATTGTAATCTTGTTTGTATTTCTTTAAAGATTTATATTTTATTTAATGCAGAAAAATAAATATATTTAAGGAAAAATTATAACCAAGTATTGCTAATACAATTTCATTATCAATAACCAATTTTAAGGATACTTCTGCTGCTTTCACTCATAGAAACTAATATTCTTATACAATATTTTGACCCACTTTTAGTTTTTTATCAATTTTCATGTGCCACAGCAATTTCTCAGAGTGCCTTAATGCAGCAACTTGGCGAAAATGAAAACTTTCATTTTGAGCGTAATATCTAGTTTCATTATTTTTCAGGCAGCAAACAGAAAGTTTTCCGGGGGAAACCCGGGAAAGCGTGAAGCGTCCCAAAGCGTTCCGGGAGACAGCGAAAAAGAGAGTGCGAGAAGAGAGTAAAATAGAGAAATTCACTTTTAATTATTTACGGCTAAACAGAAAGTTGGCCACAAGAAGAGGAGAGTAGCCGCAGGAGACACTTTTTGTGCCACGGACACACAGAAAGTTTCTGCCCAAATACCGTTTGTTGGCTTGGTCCACCCTTAATTCATTAGGGGAGAAGGAGAAGGGAAAGGGAAGGCTGAGGGGGAAAATATGCTTGGTGTCGAAGCATTTGAGAGTTTCCTACGGTTTTGGTTCCGTTTGCAATTCCATTACTTTAATGTCTGCCGGACGGACGGAAGGAAAGGGAAAACTTTTTAAATCTTTATTTATAAAAGCTTCCGCAAAGGCGGCAACTTTTGTGTGCCACTCTGGGTGTGTGTGCGAGAGTGTTCGGAGGGTGTGAGTGCAAATGAAATAATTCTGACAGCCGCAGCTTTGCGGCTGGCCATGCCCTGCGGTTTTGTTGGCCAAAACTATGCCAGCCAAACTTGCTAAATGCCCTGACAAACTTTTGCCTTCCTGGCCAAAAGGGAGAGTGAGTTGTATCCTTGGCTTTAGTGGGATTATGCCTAAGACCTGCAAATTGTTTAGCTAATTCATCACCGTTTCTCCTATGTGCTTCTCCCTACTTGCAGTGCATGCGGGCCTATGTGGAGTTTGAGATCTCCGAGGGCGCCTACGAGATCTCCTGCCCGGACGCCAAGTGTCCGGCCCAGGGTGCCATCTCCCTGCCGGAGATCGCCAGCCTGACCACAACGAATCAGCTGAAGAAGCACCATCGCTATCGACTAAATCGAGGTGGGTTTGAACTAAAGAGTTTTACTTAATTTCAGTATTTATAAATTTCTTTGCGCAATTCCCCAGAAATCGAGTTGGACAAGACGCGCACCTGGTGCCCGCGTGCTGGCTGCGAGACTATCTGCGTGGTGGGCGGAGCTCCTCAGCCAGGCGCCATTAGCCAAATGGATGAGTCGCCTTCGACCTCGCAGAGCTACACGCCCCAGCAGGAGGCGGCATCGGGCAGTGCAGGCGGAGTGGGAGCAGGTGCCGAGGCCGGAAATGGAACAACCGTCGTCCTATCCGTGGCCGTGCATTGTCCCTCCTGCAAGGACGAGTTCTGTGGCCTCTGCAAGAAGGCGGTAAGTTGGCAGCTAATTTAGTTGTAGTTTAAATATAGTTGAGGTTTCTATAGAGAAACCGCAGAATTTATGATAAAACCTTTCGATTTCACAGGAAATGATCAAAATATAAATCAGTTTCAGAACCTATAAAAGCCATTGCAATATTCATTCAGCTTAGAGTTGCCAATTTAAATTCCCATTTTCCATTTTCCGGGAAAATGTGGTTTTATCATAAATGCTGTCACTGTTTTGCAATGAAATTGCCTAAATATATAAATAAAACATGAAAAAAAAAAGAATCGCAGCACAAAAAACTATAAAATGTCAGCTCAGGTTAAAAAGTTGAACACTCGTAAAATAACAAAAATAATACATCTGTTTTGTATAAATAGCACTCAAAATGGTCAAATGTTAGGTTTTGTTTCGTGTTTTGCTTTAAGCTGTATTATTTTGTTTTGAATTTTCGGCATGGAAATGCAAATTTATTGATGGTTTTTCCTTTTTTTTTTTGTGTGCACAGTACCATCCAAACATTAGTTGCGACGAGTTTGGACGCCGGCTGATTGCCGATGGCCAGGACGACATTGGGATACCGTTCGACAACGAGCTGATCAAGTGCTGCCCCATGTGCGCGGTGCCCATCGAGAAGGACGAGGGCTGTGCCCAGATGATGTGCAAGCGCTGCAAGCACGTCTTCTGCTGGTACTGCCTGGCCAGCTTGGACGTGAGTTATTTCCAATTTCTTGGAGATTTCTTATAATAATCAAATTTATACCCCACCAGGACGACTTCTTACTGCGTCACTACGACAAGGGACCGTGCAAGAACAAGCTGGGTCACTCGCGGGCCTCCGTGGTCTGGCATCGCGCCCAGGTGATCGGCATCTTTGCTGGTTTCGGTATCCTGCTGTTGGTGGCTTCACCCCTGCTACTTTTGGCCGCTCCCTGCATCATCTGCTGCAAGTGTCGAGGCTGCAGCGGCTCCAAGATCGACGAGGTGGATGCCGAGCTCGAGGAGGAGGTCACCGCCTTGCAAGGCTAGGTGACTGTGCCTCCGACTCCTTCGGCAGAAGCCCATTCTATTGTTAATGACGACGAGCAGCTTACGTACATTTATTTTAGTTATTATAATTGCATATGTGTTAACTAAATTGTGATATTTACCGTGATTCGATTGCTAATTGAATCGACAAATTTGTTGAGAACCTTCTCCTTTGGGTTCTGTCTCTATATATTCTTTCCTCCCCCACTTATGGATATACCTACACATATATATATTCGACTAGATCAACCTGTATAAAGCAAAAGTAGTAGCGATAAGTTAGCCTAATTCTTCTTAGAGTACGCCTGGTATTTCAACAACAGTGCTTTTATATCGCACCCCAAACCACGCCCCACGCCCCCACTTACCCCACAAACCTTTTCTCAAGTATTAGACATGCAACTAACACACGAGCCCGAGATCTTTTGGGTTAATTTGATCAACTGCTGCTTGGCAATGCTTTTATCTACACCCAGCATTCACGCGTATATATATATACATACATATATATATAGTATATAGGAGGTGTATATGATGATGATGTCACTACTACTAATGTTTATTGTATTTTATTGTAAATGTTAATTAATGATGCAGCTAAAACAAATGTAAGACAAGTCACTGCTCTCGTGCAGCTCGAGCTGTCAGGACTTGTGGTTAATGTAAATTATTGAATTATTTAATGCATATACACTCAGAACATGTATACACATATATCAAGAATACGTATGACATAAAAAATGCGTGTATATTTAAAGAAAACACATATTTAAACTCTACTCTTAATGTGAACAACAACTACCGCGTATGCTGTTTGAAATAAAAATGTTAAACGAAAAAACATAAGGGATTTTCTCGCACTTGAAAAGGGAAAGTTATTTTTCTTTTATTTTGCGTTAGAATTTTTAAAGAAAATTTGAATTTAAAAAAGAACAAGTTCGGTTTAACCTTCCAAGGAAGAACTGCTTGGAACTAGTTCAAACTGCTTACTGGAATTAGGATCTGAAATTCAGAGTGACCAGAAACAAAATATAAAAAATATCAGCTCCGAATTTCAGAGTGACCAGAAACAATATATCGAAAAATACCAAGGAAATATTTTGATATATTGGTATTTTGATATATTTTCAGAGTGACCAAAAATATCAGAAAATAAAAAACCGCCACACTGGCAAACAAAATAATTTTTTTGAGTTTTAAAAACATTATTTCTCAATTATCACGATTTTAAATAAAATTTAAAAAAGCTGCAAAGATAAAACAAACCCCGCCGCCATGGACGACCAAGCGTGTCCGCGGTGCAAGACCACCAAATACCGGAATCCGTCGCTGAAGCTGATGGTCAACGTTTGTGGACACACTTTGTGCGAATCCTGTGTGGATCTGCTCTTCCTGAAGGGATCTGGTGCCTGTCCCGAGTGCATGGTGCCCCTGCGGAGGAACAATTTCCGGGTTCAGCTTTTCGAAGACCCCATGGTGGAGAAAGAGGTGGATATCCGGCGCCGCATTCTGCGCGACTACAACAAGCGGGAGGAGGACTTTGAGTCGCTGGAGGAGTACAACGACTACCTGGAGGAGATCGAGGACATTGTTTACAATCTGTGTAACAACATTGAGATCATCGAGACGAACAAGCGCATCGAGGCCTACAAGCGGGACAACCGTGAGGTTATACAGCGGAACAAGACGCGCGTCGGCCGCGATGAGCACGCGCTGGAGGAGATGCTGGAACTGGAGAAGGTGCAGGAGGAGGCGCGCAAGAAGGAGCTCGAGGAGCTGGAGAACGAGCACAAGAAGAAAAAGGCCCGGGATAAGCAGGCTCTGATTGAGGAGCTGATGTACAGCGGCAAGGATGCCGCGCAAATTGTCACAGAGTTCGCCGAGAAGGCGGAGAAGCAGCGCGCGGAGGAGAAGCAACTGCCGCCTCCAAAACAGGCAAACGAATTTTCTACGGGCATCAAGTTTGGCCAGACCGCTGACCCCTCCTTGCTGCCTGTGCCCAAGTCCGAGGAGGGTCCGCTGTTCGTTTACGAGCCACTGCTCGCCGTCACCGAAGGTCCCGAAGCGCCACCGAGCAGCGATATCGAGTCCATGGGCTACACGTCTCACATACGCGCCGAGACGCCGCAGGAGAACGCCGGCGGCTTCACCTCGGCCATTGCTTGCGAGCGGGCAATTCAGGAGGCGCTGCAGGGTCTCTACTATACGCCCACCGCTGGCGTGGCGGCTGGAGGAGTCTGAAGCCGAGTTGGAGCCGATAGATAGAGCACAGAACGCTTACTTTGTTGAACAAACGTGTCCTAAACGAATCCATTCAAATTGTAATCGTAGTGTAAGTAATATATATTCAAATGAAATAAAAGCTATATCCTACGTTAAAGCAGGGAACGAGTATCGCCTTTGATTACAGACTTGGTTTTTATTTTTAAATACTTTTAACAGTAAATATATGTAAGCATATCGCCTAGCATGCTAGATCGGACTTTTTATACAGATTACAGTTAAATTATATAGATATTGCGACGAGTGACTCGTCTACTTTCTACGTTATACTTGCACAGTTAAGAGGTAAATATGTTCTGCGATCGATTTTGGCCACAGATGGACTCCTAGCCAAGTACACAAAGTGAGGATTAACTTAAAGACCTACGAATGGGCTGATGGTGGGAAGATTACACGTGATGGGGGAGAGGGATATGGTGGCTAATACATTTAAAATGTCTTGACTTAACTTATGGCTTCATGAGTTTCGCTTTGAATTTGAAGGTGGAAAAATGTACAGAGTTAACACAAGCTGGGTGGGGGTACAATGATTGGATCACACTTCATCTCAGACAATGCTCAAGACGTGGAATGTGGAAGCAGCAGCAGCAGAACTGTGTCAAACGTTTGGTTGCTTTACATACGCCTAGGTAATTATTAGATGGTAGCATAACATTTAATTTAGACATTAAATTTCGGGCTCTTAACAATCTAATTAAAATGTTAACATGTAATAATAGTTGTTTGTTTCGCACACGCCTTGTGATGATTATATAATAGCTAGAATTAGAAGCACGGCTGCTGCGTGCGCTATGATTGTTTGCCAAACACTAATGATCGTCTTCTCATTGACTCGCTTTGCTTTGTTCACATCTGAGTGCACTTGGGGCTGTTCTGGCTCGTTGTGGGTTCTGTTTTTGGACCTTTCTTGCTTCTATTTTCGAATTGCAATCAGGTGTTGTTGAAGTTGTTTCTGTTGGTTTTGGATGCGCAAAGCAAACATCAGCGGGGCAGTAGTCATAAATTGCACCTCCTAACTAAACAGAATCGTCTGCAATAAACAATCAAATTGAGATATGAGGCTAAAAGTGTGAAATAACGCATACGCACCGTGATACCACCATTTAGTCTTTTTGGGATTCTTATTGCAGGTCTTTACGTAGAGTGTGTTGTCCGGCGGACGCTTCTTCTCGCGGCAACTGCTTAACATGGAGGCTATGCTAAGGCACACGGACTGCACGGACAGCGCCGGCGACCAGTCCTCGGTCAGAATGGAGAGGCAGATGTGTCCATTGCTGTAGACATGTGGATGCACTGGTATATTGGTACCAATAAAGGTTACCTGTCATCGAAAAAAGATGTTATTCATTAACTCATATAATTACTTTCAAGGCTAAAACCCACCTCTGGCGAGTCGAAGGGATATTTATTGTTGAATTTAAACAGCAGCTGGAAGTCCTCGCCCTCGTAAAGTGTGCCCTCGAAACCTTTAATGTTTATTTTCCATCTGTAATCAACAGAGAAAAGAGAGTTATGATGAGTGTCAGTCGTCCCCCACAATTGAATGCATTGTCTTGGCTTTATGGCAAAACTGCACGGGTGGCTAAATTAGGTTGTGATTTTTTTGTTTCGGCCTCAAATTAAACCAGTTTCAGTTTCGCACTGAACTTGGCCCACTCTGCTGCCCGTACTCACTCAGATAAATTTTGCTGTACGCTCTCGGTGTCAATGGTTACACCCGGTGGCGGCTCCTTGATCATGGACATCAGCTCTTTGTGCAGGCGGCGCTGTGGGTGAAAAAATAAAGAGATGTGGAATTAGTAAAGCACTCGCCATATCTTATCGCAAAGCACACCTTCGGCTGGGCCAAAGTGTCTCTCTGCTTAAGAGTTTTCAAAAAATATATTTATATACGTATATTTTTCTGTCCGCCTTATCTCTGCGCCATTTCTCCTTTGGCTTACAAACGCCAATATACGCTATATGGCACGCATATGTATGGTGTGTATATATATAGCCACCGATAAGATAAAAAGCAAAATGTCACTGAAATTTATAGAACCGTCAATTGTTTTTCCGTCTTGCCTTATCGACTTGCAGGGCCGTTTTCGAGACCATAAACAAGTACGTAAAGCGAATTCAATTCCGCTTTCCTGTCCCACACTGTGCCCACACTGAGCCGCTGATAAACGGTTTGATCGATAAGCTTTGGAAGCAAACAGCCAGAACTTTGCAATTTTAACGAAATAAACAAAGGCAAGTGGAACCCCTCGAAATTTTAATCGCGGATTCATGCAGATTTCTGGGAATTTCGAAAAGCTAAACACTAAGCAATAGACATGACGCAATAACGCCAGGGCCGCAAAATTAGTATCCGTTCCTCGCGATACATATTGTATATATTTGAACGTGATATCTTGGCCAAAGTTCAGGTTTTATCTGTAGGATATATATGTACATATGTATACTTGCCTCCCGCCGACAGTTGTCCAGCTGCAGGGGCTTGCCGCATTTGGAGACCGGCGGTGTCTTGGGCTCATTGGGCTCGGTTATGATCTCCGACTTGGGCATTTTGTCTTTCGACTTTTTGAATAACTTCAGCATTTTTGCCGAGATGTTATTGTCCCCGTTGATGACACTACACTGATCACTTGCTCACTTTGTCACTTTGTATTTACTGCTGACAGATCTTGCCCGAGTTGCCTAGACCGCTGTGTGTAAATTTGAGTGTTAGTTATTCCTACACTTGCTTCAATATGCCACCAGCACTTTTCCCAGGGCACCAAGGGGCGGGGCACTCATTTTCCTCGCGAGCCAATTTTATTTTGTCCGACCAAAAGCGCCAACGTTCGTGGGACGACTGAAGAGGAAAGCACCGAGAAATTTTGTGGGGAGACTGCAGGGCGAGTCGGGTGACGAAGCCAACGTCGCGACGGCGACGGCGTTGGTGTTCAGTGTTCAGTGTTCGGTGTGCGTAGCTGTCGGCACCCGACCGTTCCTCCCTATCAACCCGTCTATATACATTTTTGCACTATCGAAAATGAGAATTCGCAAGTGCAGCGAAACGGCCCAAACTAGTTTTTGTAAATACTTGTGAGCAACTTGCTCGCACAGCTGGTTTGATGAGGTTCGAGGAGATTGGTTTCTGGTTGTCTCTCCCTTGATCACGAGATGGCGGCTGGCTTTGTCGCCCCTCTTGTTCCGCCAAGAAATTGGCAAAAGGTCTTATCGGAGCAGAGCACAGCCCTGGCACGCAGCAATTAACTGATAAGCGAGTGATTAGATTGCTGGCGATAGACCTTTGAAGGTAAGTACCAACACATATGTATACAGTGAGAAAAAAGGGTAATTTGATTGATTTTTAAAATGTGTATCCCCAACATATTTATGGAATATTTCATTTTAATCCCCTATTGCACTTCGAACTGTTTTCAGTATTGATTGTTAAGTTAGAAAACTTTTATCCGCTGTGTAAATACTCCAACAAAAACGGGCAACAAGTGTTCCAGAGCAAGTGCCAGGGGTGCCTACGTCAATGGGGCATGCATTTCAATTGATGGAACAATGCGATCTTGGCAGTATTCATAATGCAATGAAGACGAGCCCGAGTACCGCAGATGATTAAAGGCAATCAAGCAACGTCCCAGAAGATGATCGATTATATAACTGGTTGTGATCGAGAACCCCTTAGAAAAGTGGGTGATACTTGTACTAATTGTACTAAACGATGAAGTAGGCCAGACCCACACACCTCGCACTGCGGGGTGTTACTTGCGTTTATTTTAGACTCAATCAAATGAGGAGAACAAAACAAAAGCTGCTTGAATCGCCCCGAAATAAATAAATAAAATGCAGTTGAATGCCAACTATCTAGGAAAAGAACAAGTGGGGAAGTTTTATAAGCTCTTGGGAAGTCAGCGGGGAAAACAACAGAAACACCACGAATACGGCCAAAAACAATGGACTCTGGCGAATTCTTCGGCAATAAAAAACAACCAGGAGAGTGTAAACAAATAAACCAACAACTGTCAGACAGACGGAGGGGGCAAGGATGGGGGCTCTTTGTTTTTTATTCATTTCTTTATTTTCGGAGAATATTTTTTGGGTAAACACCCCACCAATAGAACTCGCTGGTGGCTGATGAAAAAGCGTGCCATAGCTCGAATCTTTGTGGCTGATAAACGCCTCAGCAGCTGATAAAACCACAAAAAAATAGACATTTGGAGGTAAGCCAGGGCCAGAGGGTGAAGGACGATTAGCGTAGACATAAACAGGTGAGATGTGTGGAAGGAGATGATGGCGAAATGGGGGCGGCGGAATGATTCACGCCCCCTCGAAAACAGCCATTTGGAAATCGTATTTGCTGGCCAACCTTCGGATGTGAATCACGCCAGGCCAAAATAAACAAACCCTGGCCGCCACTTGGGCCAAATTATCCAACTAAGGGGGCACTGAGGCACGGCGACCAGGAGGAGGCCTAGAAGTGACCCATCCCCACGCCCCGAAAGCCATATAAAGCGATTTCCTGAACCGGAGAAATGCTAAGCGCATTACAGCGAAAAGGCGAAAGCGGAAGCCACGGCTGAGGGGGCGGTGTTGATTATACCGTCGGTGCAACCTTAAACTTGCCAACCAGCCAACCAACCAACCAGCCCACCTGCCCTTCACCGGCAGTCGATAAATCATCTCCTACGTCACCACCGCCACCGTGTCGTGACGTCAGGGATCGTGCTCTCCGTTGGTATAAATAAACCCCAAACCTGATGCGCCAGTTTCGGGCTTATCATCTGGTCAGAGGAGAGCGGCGACAACAATCGACATGTGTCACGTTCGCGGCGGATGAGCAACAAGTTCCAGTCCGCTTCTAGAGCGGCGAGCATCTCCTCCTGGCGCTGATACAGAAGCATACATATACAAACAAGTTGGAAGCGTAGGCCATCAAAATGAGGACGTGTTTTTGCCACAGACACGTGAAAGGCGCGTGCACTTACAGCAATATGCGATAAATTCAGTAATTAAATTAAACTTAAGTGAGATGTATCACGAATTAGACAAGCGGTTTTACAACGGAAAGGTGTTTCGCTGCAGTGATTGGAAAACCAGACAACCTCTCAACGCCAATGAAATTGCGCAGGTAAATTGCTATCTGATTAAATCTATGGATCAGCGATCACGTTCCGCAGGTCAGCGACTCTGTAACCGTCCCATTTAAGCCGAATACTTTTCGAAAATGGGAGGTTCTTTCAGCGAGATGAATTGCTGCCCTGCTGCCATATGGATTGCTTTTTAAACATCCCCATTAATCGGTTATTGTCTGGTGGGCGTGCATAAAAGGCAAATCACTTCCTTATGGCGATGCTTTGTTAACGCAGATACTCTTTGTGATCGGATCGCAGAATATGCCCATGCATATTTCATGATGCCAGATCAATTTGTGCCTGAAATTTCTTGAGTCTACTACAGTGCAGTGTTCATAACTGGAACTTGGCTAACTTGAAGCCGTTTTGAACCAATCTGACACTATATAGAAAGAAATACTACCTATATATCTTGACAAGTTTCCTAGCTATCTTGGAGCTTCTATGGAATACATATCTAATCAAACCAGTCACAGCTCGTCTAAAATGTCAGATTTAATTCAAATGATATCGGCGGTAGTTTTCTCTAAAACTTGTTCTATGTACTGTCTATTTCTTGCTGTCCATATTTATAGAGTCCTAATGCGTAAGAAGTGGCTGGGAGCGCCGGCCAATTAGTATGTTGAGCGCGTGCCAAAAAAATTGGCGAATGGTAGATCCCTGGGAAAATGTGCTTGGCCACCGGCAATCAATTGGCTGGGATGTATGCTAATGCCTGAACCTGCACACTTTGAATCTGTACGATTCTACGTTTATCTGCGGATTATGAACTTCGGATTTCGCGTCACGGAAAATGTATCTCTGGCGGCGGAGCGGCGCGTGCGAATTCGCGTGGCATCGAGCACTGAATGCGAGCGCTGTCACTGGCGATGAGCTTCTATTTTCGGCGGACGGGCGCGCGAGCGATCCGTATATATGTATGAGATATAGCTTGGCAGCAGTGATGGGCAGGGTACAATTTGATGATTCCTCAGGTAAGGTACGATTAAGGACCCTAAGCATAATCATAATAGAGTCAAGATACAAACAAAACAAATCCGATAATATACCAATATAAGAAATGGTTATAAATAAATGAATTCTAGGTAATTTGTTTGCATTAAAAAACAATTAAAGGTAAAGGCTAATAAGAACAAGAAAGGAAAGCTGAGGCTTATATACCCTAGCAGTTTGCTATTGAATTATGGGATTGATCGTTCGAAATCGAAGCTTAAAATAATCGACCTTTATATATGACAATTTTTTCGACACATCAACGATTCAATAACTTATAACTTTTATTTCCATTCGGATTGGGTTCCTATACTAATTTGTATTAAGTTAATTCATCTGCATACTCATCTTAAAATTCAAAATTTAAGTTTTTGCTAATTTTAACGATGTGACCCCTTATACAATTTTGAAAAATGTTATACATGTTTTACTCTGCAGGAGATGGCTGGATTGATGCTAATCAAGAATATATATGGTTTACGATTCGGAAATGAACCCTCAAAGCGTTACAAGTTTCTGACTAAAATTAAAAAACCCTGCAAGGGTATCAAAAGTTGACAATTTTAAAAGCAAGTACATATATTACCCACCAATATATTCTGAATGTTTCCAACTTGAAATCAAATCCCAGGGTTAACTACAAGCCTACCGTTACCCATATCCTTAGATTTGAAACTAGAAAAGATATTGTACACCTCTGTGACACCTAAATACGCCGCATCACTGGTTGATGGCCAGGATCGACCGTAATGCAAGTGCATTGTTTACGTTCCTTAAACAAACCGACGCGCAGGGGAAAGTGCAATGGATGCCATGTAAACATTGGCCCACAGGGAGGCGGATGTCACACAGTGTGCGTTGCAGTGGGTGGCACAAAGAGCACACCCATGCGGGTCCGGGTCGATTGCCGGGTCTGTAATTAGCGGCTGGGGGTCAAACGACCTCGAGCCGCCATACCCAGACAAAGACAGCGTCTCTTTGAGCCGCGGCAATTATATAACCACTTGCCAATCGAGAGCCCAAGGAAGCTGCGACTCTGTCTTATCAGCGAGCTGCGTCACTTTCGGGTCCGATTCGCGACGCCGCCACGATAAGATGACGTTGAACCTCCGGGTAGCACTGCGAGTGCGGAAGGGAAAACTTCCCAGATCGCAGATCGCAAACATTGGCACAGCTGGTCATAAGGGGCTGGTGTTTCACCGCGAATTCCATCACCACCTCTGCAAGTCGGAGCTTACCTCGCTGGGCGACATCGACGACATGCTACTGGTACTCCCCTGGCGCTCCGTTGTGGCAGCTCTGGCTCTTCCTGCTCCAATCCGCTGGGCTGCTCCGCTGTCTGGCTGTCGCTCCCTCGCTTCTTCTGTGTGGCCGAAATCGTTGTTGCTTTGTGTGGGATGTGCGGAATTAGCTATTTGGAATTGTTGTTAGAAAAATAAATTCGTTGGGCGGACAGAGTGACCGTGTTTGGCAGTGTTGGAAATCGGCAGAGAAGTACCAGCTGCGCTTAAAAATACCGCCGAACAGCTGATTGGCGCAATAATTTTATAAATATTAATACAAAATAAATGATTTATTCTTATTTGACAAGAATTTCGAAAAGTATATTCCGCAAAAAGGTACTAGGAATGATAACCAAACCCATGTAAACATAGTGGCTAGTGGCTAAGAGGAATAATTTTTAAAAACGGATTAGAAAATATAAAACTGCATAATGCACAAATTACATTAAATTCACTAAATTTAAAAAATTGTTTAAATTATTACAAAACAGACTGAACAATGTCTTGCCTCATGGTCACACTGCGTTTTTTAAAACAGCTGATTAAAACGTTAAATTCATTTTCAAAATAAAAACAGTGTTTACGCGTTAAGTTTTAAATAATAACAATGGCAAAGAGCGTTTATTGCACCGGCGATAAACCTTATCAATTGGACCGCCGTGGGGAGCAGATTTGAGGCGCTGATAAGCTGCAGCCCTTATCTGCCGGAGTCTCCGGTCAACCGCTCTCAGTACCGGACTGACTGCCACTTGGATTGGGTAATCATTTATCAGCGGAATAATCCAGAATGCATTTCGGAGTCTTGGGCAGTGGCATTATCGGTCTCACGACCGCCCTAGAGCTCCAGAAGGAGTTTCCCACGGCGCGCGTCTCGGTGATTGCAGATCGTTTCAACGAGGATACCGTGAGCTATGTGGCGGCAGGAATCTTCCGGCCGGGCACCAGCTTCATGGGCCCCACCCAGGAAATTACGCAGTAAAAATCAATTAAGGATACATTGCAAAAAACAGGTTAATCAAGAATCTACCGCTTGCAATAGACAATGGATGACGGACGCCTTCAACTACTGGGAAGAGTTGCGACGCTCCAAGGAGGCTCCTTTGGCCGGTGTGTGCCAGCTCTCTGGCTACATATACTCCCGCACCTCGCCCTCCATCGTACGGGTATGTACAGATGTTGTTGGGCAGTCGTCTATCAGTGATTCTTATCGGCGAGCTTAATTCGATTAATTTTTCGCTTTTACTTCCGTAGAACCATTTTATTGAGAAACTGTTGCCTGTTTATCGTCGCGCCACGGAAGAGGAGCTGAAGCTGTGCCACGGCGGCTGGAAGTACGGCTCCTTCTTCACCACCTGCCTCACGGAGAGCCGTCTCTTCTTGCCCTACGCCACCAAAAAGTGAGTGGTTCTGCCTGTTTCAACTTATCTTATGCCTAAATCCCCCACAGATTCCTGGAGAATGGAGGTGAGGTGGTGCGTCTGCATGTGAAGAACTTCTTCGAGGTGCCACAGAGCTACGATGTGCTGCTCAACTGCACCGGAATGGGCGCCAAGGAGCTGTGCGGTGACCAGCACTTGGTTCCTATCCGTGGACAGGTGCTCAAGGTGCGGGCACCCTGGGTGAAGACAGCCTTCTATGGGGACTACGATACGTATGTGCTGCCCGGATTCGAAACGGTTACCCTGGGCGGCTGCCGCCAGTTCGACAGCTACAACACCGAGTGGTGCAAGTACGACAGCATGGCTATCCGAGAGCGCTGTTATGATCTATTGCCTAGCCTCCGCAAGGCTGAGATCGTCCGTGAGTGTGTGGGCTTGCGTCCGCATCGTTCGGTGGTCCGCGTGGAGCCGGAGCTACTCACGAACCCTGAGGGAAGGCGGCTGAAGATCGTCCACAACTATGGCCATGGCGGCTATGGAGTGACCACTGCTCCAGGTACGGCCAAATATGCCGTGGGATTGGTGCGCGATTTACTGGCTGGAAATAGTAAACTTTAGGCGATAAAATTGATATTGCTAATTGTTGGTCATTAAATTTGTTATACTTTGAATCTTTGAACCCCAATAGATTTTGCTTTATATACACTGGGGAATTATTGTAGGTGTCGAGGTTTATGAAAACACCTTTCTATAAAAATTAAAGATTGCCATAAGTTGTAATTAGTAGAACTTTAATACAAAATATATTCTTAATTTTTAGATTTGCAAGAAATCTGTTTTTGATAAACCTTTTTTTTCGAGCTTGAAACTTGATTACTTGTAAATATTTTTTTATTTAATTAAAAAACAAAGTCTAGTTATAAGTTAAATAGGATTTTACTAAACGGTAACTCTTTTTAAGCTAGGCGCTCGACCAGTTTTGGGAAACGAGCGTCAGCGATTTGAATGCGCATGAGCGGCGCATGAATGGAAAGCTCGCTGAAAATTCGCCGCGAAAGCTATGCCCACACTCGATTCCGGACGGGCTACCCAGGCACGGAGACCCATCGATTTTCAGCAGCAGGAAAAGCAGCAGCAGGGAAACTGTGTGGGTAGCAGGCAGTCAGCTAGTCAGTCAGTCAGGTTGAAACAGTTAAATTATGAGAACGTATACAAGACTTGCCTCAATTCGCCGCAGCAGTAAATTCGCCGCCTGAGAGAGAGCGAAGGAAGGAAAATTTGTGTGTGTCCTTTGGAGTCGACGTGTCGAAGCGAACGAACTGAACTGCGAACAGAGCGAGCAGCGAGAAAAACTGGTGAATCTGGCGTAGCATTGCATACGCATTCGCATCCGCATCCGCTGAATAATTGAGCCACTGCAGCCACCTGGCCAGACGTGTGTGGGACGCGAGCGTGTAAATAATTGATTGGGTAATCGTAAACAAAGGGAGCCAAGTAGAGTCGAGTCGGAGCACCGCGGCGTATGTCAGTCCAGTGCCAAGGCTGAGCGCGTCCCTTCTTCCCCCAAGCGAACAGGACCTGCCGTTGCTACCATTATCGATTTGTGTGTATGTGTGGCTGGCAGAGCGTGTGAGAAACAACACACGGGGAGGCAGGCACAACACGTCAACAACAGTAGCAGCAGGATCCTCTGCAGGACCAACATTGACAGCAACAACAGCGTCAGCAGCAACACTAGCAGCAGAAGCAGCAGCAGCAGCAACCGCAGCAACCTCAAGACAGTGTAAGTGCATTTCACATAATAAGCATACGCCATGGGTGACCAGGAGCAGAGAACTGTGGCTGTCATGACTGGTATCTTTCCTGGGACAATCACTGGTACCTTCAGGGACAATAAGACCTTCAGATTGTCAACTTATATTTACCATTGGTTACTAATTAAACCTCAATCTATAGGGAATAGGTTTTTAGAGGTAAAAGGTACCTGTTTTTATGGTGGCACGTTTGATTAACGTATTTTTCGGTGCGTCATTAAAATAGCAATGGATGTTGAACATGGCATATGCGGGCAATCGTTATACATATATATTTTAACTGTTCTACTTGTTTGAAGGGTTACTGGCATCTAAAACAGCCTTTAACAATAGTTGATTTTATTTAAATTGTTTCCGGTTCCAAAAAAACATTTATGTAGTACCTTCAATAGAAATCTGACGGGTTCAGACCGTAATTATTAAGTTACTTTGCTGTAACAACCGACCTCGGCCCTGTAACCGCAATCAAAAGTTAACAATTACGAGAGCACAAACCCAACTTGGGGGATTTCCCCATTCGAAACCTGCGAAACTGCAAACGGAAGCCATTAGCCTGCGAATTGAGCTCAGCTTTTAGTCCATATTGGGTTTCTTATCAATAATTAAACTAGCCCGCAGCTGCTGTCCGCTCAACAGCTGCTTAATCATTGGAAATTTGAAACATGAAAGAGCAGTCAAGGGGTGAGGGAGTGGGAACGGGGCGTGGGGGACGAGCAGCAGCAGCCACCCCCACGAGGAGGGAAAACAACACAAAAAATCGATAATTACACGCAGCCGAGCAGATAAAAACATTTCTACACAGACACACTCACATACACACCGCCTGTGATAACAGCCGTGTGCCTATTGACTCGAGCCCGCCTGACTTCGTCCTCCTGCCTGGACCCTCATTCCTGCTTGGGATGTCAGTGCCTGAAGAGGATTTGGCAGAAGCTGGAGCTGGAGCTGAAGCAGAAGCAGGAGCAGGAGGAGGACCTGCGGCGGAGGCTGTGGCCGTGGTTGTCCTTTTTGCCAGGAATATCCTTGACGATGACGCGCGCGCTCTAGAAGTCGTTCATCAGCAATCTGACAGCATTTGCCGCTGCGCAACTTCTGATTCGAGGCGGAGGACGTGGCGGGGACACGGGTCGAGCGGAAACGGAAGCTGGAGTTGCCTATATACACAAATTATCGACACAATGTCGCTGCTTGTCGGTCTTGCATATGGAAATCGGGCAGTCAGGCAGCAACCCACCACAAACAAGGACAAACCATCCCGAATGGGGCTGTAACTGTAAGCCGAGACTGTTGTCACTTGGCCAAGCCAAGGCTGAAAGTTTTCAAGGCCGTCAAGGCACCACACCGCACCCCACTCCCCACCACTTACAGCAGTTTCCCTTTGAGTTGTCCCACTGACGTGACAGCCATGCCAAGTCGAACTGGGATAATCAAGTGGGTCCTGCTCTGCACTGGGGAGGGAGAGGAGCGCGCCCATTCCTCGAGTGACAAGTCAGAAGTCAAGGCTGTTGTTGGTTATGCTTCAGAAAATATAAACGCAAACTTGTTTAATCCATGCGCACGCGATACAATTAGTTCCCGGCTCACATACAGCGAGCGGCAGCTGGCCCCCAGTTAGGCTTTGACCACTGATCTAGGTTTCCAGTTTAACATGCAGTTAGGATAACGACTGGAGTGTATGGGGGCTTTATCGTAATCAGCCTATTCAACCATCTCTAGGCGGACTCCGATGTTGACGCCATCGCCAACGCCGCCGATGGCTTCGCCCTTGCAGCCGTTTTGGCCAACGCTGAATCCCCTGTTGTCCAGGATCATGGACTCCTCGGGAGGGTTCAGCTGGAGCCCGCACTTTCCGGCATTGGAGCCGCTGAAGATGACAATGTCGGCGGGGCGAATGGAACTCTGGCTAGAGGGTTGCGATGTGATGTTAGATGGGTGCGGCTCCTGGTCCTGGGCCGAGTCCGAGCGCATCAGTGTGGTCATGCAGATGCTTGTGTTGCTTCTGCTGGTGATTATGGTGGTTGTTTCGATGGTCTCCAGGAGCTGTCCGTCTTCTTCGGAGGCGATTGCGGCGGCTGCTGCCGCCTCGTGTTCATGCTCCACCTCAAGCTCCAGCTTCCTCTGGCGCTCGATCGCCTGAAGTCGCTCCATCTCTTGCAGCTGCTCCCGCTCCAAGCGCTCTTCATCCGGCTCCCCCTGGGCCTGCTGCTGGCAGAGATCCACATGCATACGGGCTAGCTGGGTGGCGTTGTAGGGACAGAAGCAATTCAGGCTCACCACCCGATTGCCCACCTGCTGGACTGGGCGGCAGTTGCGAGTTATCGGTGTTATCCCATCCGGACCCAGGAGTAGGCGAAAGTGGCGTAGCTGAAAGTCGCTGATGGCCAGCGACTCGGGGAAGATGAACCATTCGGTGCCCTGGTAGCAGGGCGGATGGGTCAGCGATCCTCCGTAGGAGTAAAAGCCGGTGCGAAAAGCATAGATCAAGTAGGAGAGCGGAAAGGGCTGGATCTGAACGCGCTTCCCCGGCTTCTGGACAAGACGCAGGTTCTGCACAAGCGGGTCTAGGAATGGATTGTGGGCAGACAGTTCGAAGACGTAGCCGAGCATGAGGAGGTCATAGCTGCTGGTGCAGGGGCGCGGGACGCCCGACCCGGCACGGTGCATCACCTGCATCTCCAGTGGGAACTTGCGGTGGTTGATCGTGTGCTCAGAGCCCTCGCTGTTGCACCAGCCCCAGTGGAAGCGCAGCTCCACGAACGTGTAGCTGGCCAGCAGATCTGCTCCGCTGATGGTGGGCGCATTCCCACGGAACTGGGCGCGGAGCACCAGAGTTTGGCCAGTATTCTCCAGCTGTATGCTTGCCGGTAGATCATCGTAGTGATTCCAGTTAAGCAGCTCTCTAATGGCAAGTCTTTGGACCTGGCTCTCATCAATGTTAATTGGACTTTGATAGTGATTTTCCTCTACTCCACATCCACTGGATGCCTCTGGCTGTCCCAGCCAGGTGTGGGGGCCATGAACCATGTCATAACCATAGTTTACGGCAGGATATTTTGAGCTGCAACAATAATTACTGCCGGATCGAAGAGGATTCCTCATCCAGAAACACGCCCGCTGGTAGGCCTCTTTCAGCGAATCCTGGTCGGTCTGGTAGGCAAGGGCCACCAGCAGGCACAGTGCCGTGGTGACCAGCGGGTGCTGGACCACCTGTGATAGCACCTGACCGATTATCAGATATAGAAACTGAGCCAATAGGCCCAGAACGGTTCCCAGCGTGGTGTCGAACATTATTGCTCAACTAGAGATCCAGTAAACCTCTAGAGAAACGATAGCTGTGTAAAAAAGTATCTAAAACGTACAAAAAGTACCAAAAACAAAACTCAAAAACTATATATTTTACGCTTTCTTTTGATTTCCGGAGTTACTTATTAGAATAAATTTGAGCGTAGGTCTAGCACTGTTGGGTATTCGGAAGTGTTTATGGACTGAGAGATCCCTGGATCTCTCCGAAGTCATAAGCCAGTTGACGGAGAACTCCTTGCCTCCTTGTTCGATTTGATATTTGTTTTTTTAAGGAATTTATACTTTTGATTTGAGACTTAAACCGCTTTGCCTTGCAGAAGCGAACCGCTCTTAGACCGACACAATGGCCAGCGGCGGAGACCCCAAGTGGCAGAAGGATGCTGCCGATCAGAACTTCGACTACATGTTCAAGCTGCTCATCATCGGCAACTCCAGCGTGGGCAAGACAAGCTTCCTCTTCCGCTACGCCGACGATAGCTTCACATCCGCCTTCGTCTCCACGGTGGGCATCGACTTCAAGGTGAAGACCGTCTTTCGGCACGACAAGCGCGTTAAGCTCCAGATCTGGGTGAGTACACAACGTGGATATATATTTGAGCCGGGCAAAGTGTTGGCCTACTTTTACGGGCACTCTGTCATGTGCAGAGCTCTGGCTTGACCTCGATTAGTTTTGCGGTGGCGGGGCGGAGGAATCATCCGGAGGCGGGAGAGAGGGCATTAAACCGGAAACCCGAGACATTGATTTATTGATTTGGCATCGTCGTGGCCGAAGGTGCGCGCAGGTGAGCGCACTCTCGAGAGTCCTCGTCCGATGTGGGGGCGTTCCGGATGCCAATCTTGTTTTCAGTTATAAATTAAGACAATGCCAACGCTTGAATGTTCTCAGCAAGATTAATTGGGACACGAAGGCTTAAGTTGGGGCATTAATATGGATTAAAGCCATTCCTTCTTTCAATTAACTGCATTGGTCTTTCTTTTTCAGAGCTTTAATTCATTTAAATCTGCAATCTTTACAATTTGTTTCATAGTTAAAATTATCCCGTAAAGATATTCTCCGTTCAATTCAAGTTCTATAATATTGAACCTCTATTCCCAGGATACGGCTGGACAGGAGCGATATCGCACCATCACCACAGCCTACTACCGCGGCGCCATGGGCTTCATCCTGATGTACGATGTCACCAACGAGGACAGTTTCAACTCAGTGCAGGACTGGTGAGTGGCACATTAGGACCCAACCAGATAACTTACTTAAATAACGTATCCTCCAGGGTCACACAGATCAAGACGTACTCGTGGGACAACGCCCAGGTTATCCTGGTCGGAAACAAGTGCGACATGGAGGACCAGCGTGTGATCAGCTTCGAGCGCGGCCGGCAGTTGGCCGACCAGTTGGGCGTTGAGTTCTTCGAGACGTCCGCCAAGGAGAACGTGAACGTCAAGGTGAGTAGAAGTCTATATGTGGAGATATCAAAGATCACTGGACACCAAATTTTCAGGCTGTTTTCGAGCGTCTGGTGGACATCATCTGCGACAAGATGTCCGAGAGCCTGGACGCAGATCCGACGTTAGTGGGCGGCGGCCAAAAGGGTCAGCGGCTGACGGATCAGCCGCAGGGCACGCCCAATGCCAACTGCAACTGTTAGAGCTCGAGATGATGGGAAGGCAGGAGGATCCTGCGTGGGAGGAGCAGCACCACAACAACAACAGCAACAGCAACAAACCACAGACAACAGAATTGGAAACTAGCTAATTAGTCAGCATTGAAACGGGGGACTCGCCGCTAATCCTTCAGTAAGCCGACGACAAGGCGGCGGAGTTAAAGATAATGATGATATATATATACGTGTTTCCCTCCCCCTCGGGGAAGGGCACTATATTTGTATCGATATGTGTATGTATATCCTTTGCGTTCGGTCGCCTCAGTGTAAATGTCAAAATGTTATTTAATCCGATGTTTGAATTGTAATTTGTAATTGGTAATTGGTAAATCGGTGAATTGGTAAATCGGTGAATCGGTAAATCTGTAAATCGGTGAATTGATAATTTGTAAACTTGTAATTTATCGGCTGCCGCAGCGTGGAACGATTTGCGTTGAGTGTGCGAGTGAATTCGATCGCGAAGAAGTTGAACAAGAGCAAAGAATTTAACCAAAGTCCGAAGTTCGGCACTAATTAAGCGTGCACCCCGAGTGCCGCTTGGCAGCTGATCCCTGGCCACCACTCGAGGCCAGGTCGGTGCCAGGCAGTATGAGTATCTCCTCCACACCCATGTATATACGCTGGCTGAACTGTACAGTTTGCGATGCTTGACGAAACGCACAAAGCTAGCGGAATCGGTGAAATCGAAATCGAAACAGACAAACTAACTATAGCTACACTATCTGTATCTGTACGCCCCACACTCACACCACTCATGTATATGTATGGCTACACATACAAGGCACACGGCACACAGCACACACCATACAACACACAGCACACAACACAACGCAACACCCGAGGACACACAACGCGATACAGATATGGTAAAACCTAGACCCAAAGTCCCTGGCTTGGAGCAAACACACAAACAGCAGGCTAAGTGGTAAGCCGTTATTATTAAATATTATGATTATTATTATTATATACGTATGTATTTATGTAGTGAAATGGAAAATTTTAATGTGTTGCAAATGATAAAAGAAATATATACATCAAATATACATAGAGTACTACAACTACTACCCAGACTACCCGCATGCCATACGACAGAGGTAGTTGCAGTTTTCTGTTCCCTTCCGTTGAGTCCGTGTTCCGTGACAATAACCCCGCAGGAGATCAGGATCAGGATTAGGGAGAGCTAGGATCCCCTCCCCCTCGAGGTCAGGCAACCGATATTGGATTTCCGCCCTCACATTTTCGCCTCCCTCACCTCCATTTCCCACCCCCCTCGAGACTGTTGCGAACTGAATCCGGATTGCGCGTCACTTGAACCCACCGAGCCAGCTGAGAGATCGGTGCATTTAATTTGCCAGCCCCTCCCGACCCCGAAACCTGACACCTGAACCCCTTTTTATATGCACACACACACACCACCCACTTTTCTACCTGTCTGCTATAGAAGGCTTTCCTTTGTTAACGCTTTAATGACACCACGAACTACGAACTACAACCGCTGCCGTGACTAAATTTGAGCAGAGATTAGGCGGGACGAGGACTTACTTTTGAGGGCCGCAGAGCACAGGCTGACACTGCTGAAATCTGAACAAAAAACTGAATATATATATATACTATATGTGTATTTGCCAATGCTCGTTAATGTTAAATATGTGTACAAGCAGAGTTTCACTTGAATTACGATTAAATTAAAGGCATATCGCTGTATTATAAATACCCAAAAATGAACACAAAACGAAATCGAGACCCCGAAGTCAGGCCCAGAGAAAGTCCACCACACAAAATGCACAACGACGTGTTGCTGAGAGGGGAAGGGAAATCGAACTAGAAGGAGCAGCATGGAGCAGAGGGGATAGATGGCTTGGGAAATGTAAAAGATAATAGAGAAAATTCTATACGAAAATGCCTTAAACGAGCGAGATCTTCCGCTGATTGGTCTGTTTTGGCATTCGAACTGTTTTGTAAAATAATTAATCATACAACGTGCATAGCCACCTCTTCAAGTATTTGTCTTTGTATTCGTACGTGGATTCGCTTTTAGTCAAGCCCCAATAATTAAATAATCCAACCGAGTTAAAACTAAAAATACGACTAAACAAACCAAACCAAAAGCAAAACGGAGTAAAATCAAATCAAATAAAACGAGAAACAATTGTTGATGAATTCGTGCATAGGCATAACGCAAACAGGCATTTTTGCGCTACATTGTTGTCATTTAAACAAATACTTAGCATATATTGATTATTGCATTGTGTACTCTCAGCTATACCAAATATTTGTAAACCCTATGAAAGCCATTCCAATTCCAATTCCAGTTCCAAAACAAAAAACGATAACGAAAACGAAATCGAATAACAAACACAATGGCATTATTTGTATTCCATTTGAATTGCAGCAAGCATATAACCCCAGCTAGGAAATGTATACAAGAGTGTCAAGCTAAAATAATTCAATATATTATTCAATGATGGTTTTTAAACACTAACAACACACATCTGCATACCCGTACTTATGAGGATACTAACATAGATATACAGATACACACATATATACATAATATACACATAATGGTATTGAAATTATTGTATTCCCATAATAAAATATATGCAAAAAACAAAGGTGTATGGAATGAACCGAATTTTGTGTTCTTTTTTAACGGGAGGGTCATGGTTTATCCATTTTATGCAATAGTTATCTTTTTAATTGTGCAATGGATTTGCACTAAATATCGGAAAAATGGTTTCCATGTTTATTACGTATACGCAGGGTTGCCGGAATTTATTTACAGATTTTTAGAAGCGCTTGAAACTATTAAAAAGTACATCTGAGGCATTGTTTTCTTTTTCATAAATGGTAATGGGCTTTCAGTTGTGTAATAAGTTGAATGTAAATGTCTAAAGAAGGGTTTTCGTGCATATTACGTATACGCTGTGTTGCAAGAATATGTTTACAAAGTCAAGGCTTTTACTGAATGGTTTTATTCTATGTTAAAAATAATAAATAAGGCTAATTCGCTGTTAGCAAACAGGTTATTTCATAAACTGTTTTAATTTTGAAATGATGTTTTTAGGGATGATAATGACAATGTCTTAGTAGGGTTTAAAACCAAAAGATAATATTGTTGATTTCACAACAACTTGCATTTAAGCTATGTAAACAAAAAGTAGTTGGAAATACTTACCAACTCTCCACAAACTTTCTAATTAAAATCCTCTCCACATTCTCATATTTTTATGCAACACTGCAAATTTCTATACACTTTTTAATGGCTAGTTGTGAAGGCATTTAATTTGTGCTCTTTATCGCCTGAAAGTTAAAAGTACATTGAAATTTATGGGGTCATAAATGCCCTCTGATGCCTGAGTTATAGATGGCTGCTATTTATTTTTGCTGCTTGAGTGCCAGCAAGACTCTTCCCACCGCTTCCTTTGACAAAAGAAAATGGCTCCGGTTTAGTCTCCATATATAGTATGTAATTTACACGCTTTATTCAGATTGATATATGTACTTGTATAATTTACAATTAAATAAGTCAATTCACATAAATATCATATAATGTGTGTGTGCTGCAGAGCAAGCCGTACCAATGTCGAAGCTTACACTCACACTCGAGTTTAAGTTACAGTAAGTTGCGCTTATGAATTATTTATAAATTGTACACGATTCACAGGGCTTGAGAGTGGCTATTGCTGAGTCGAGGATCAAACTGTTGAGCAAGCTTTTCTAGCTGGTTCCGATATTATAGACAGATATATGTACGTATGCGAATATATATATAGATATGTTAATGCTGCGCTTGTGTGTGACTCCTGTAAACACGCTCCTGGGTGTCCTGAATTTATATTACTTTTTCTATGTGTATTGAGTATGATTTTGAACTTGATGTCATGGTACAGTCGTCGCAACGCTCCCTCCCAGTTCGGATTCGGATTCGGATTTAGATTCGGTCTAGGGCTAGTAAATGCTATCAATTAGAACTAACTCCCGAACTAAATGGCAACGGATGTGCGAATGCGAAAGCGGATGGGGAGGCTGGTGCCGGCCAACTTTCGCCGATTACTTTCCATTTACAAGTTCCCTTTCCCGACCTCCACTAATTTGGCATAATAAGCTCGAAGCTCGAGGCACACAACGGGTTTACTTTGTTTACTTGCAGTTTGCTCTAACTAACGTGGCCTTGCGACGGCCATTCGGTCCATTCTGGACACATGTAACTGGGCCTAAATGCACAAACTCGCTGCATTAATTGGTTTAGGGGTTTGAGGGGGGCTTAAATGTAATAGCAGAAACGCAAATGCATAAAATCAGTCTGACTTGTTTTAATACATAATTACACATTACAATTTATAATACATGCACAAAGCCGGATCCGCGTAGAGCGCATTTCGTGATTCCCGAAACGAAATACAACTGACGGCCCTTTTGTGTTGCTTTAAATTAATTACGAGTAAATGCTTAAAAAAGTATTATAAATATTTATGCTGATATTCCTATTTGTTGCAGCTATCGTATGTACTAAGCGCTATTTACGTAAAATTAAGTGGCCAGCGAGTGTGCGGGTGTTCGGTGTTCGGTGTTGGGTGTGCTTCTATTTACAAAGTTTTAATGAGGGACTTATGGCAGCTCGGCGCCCGTAAGTGTGCTATGGATTCCGGGCCGAGGCGGAGCTCAGGCATCCGTGTGGCTCCTGTAATGCGGCTTGCGTCTAATGGTGGCAAAGTATGGCGCTGGCTGTTTGGTGCGTTGCTGCTGCAATTGTTGCAGCTGCTGCAGGTGCTGTTGATGTTGCTGCTGCAGCCTCGACTGCGACAAGGACTGGGACTGTCGTCACACTGTGGTCTCGTCATCATCAATATTCCGCCTGTTTGGGAATTGTACAGAATTAGTCGGAAGCTGCATTTGTCAGGAATTTCATATATTTCAAATTACTAAACTATGCTACTCTATACTCTAATTCACGTGCTTCATTACGGCGTGCACCTGTGCGATAAGTTGGAATTTGTGGCAGTCTCATAAATTGCATGCGACGTTCGTGCATATACGAACGTGTTTAATGTTAAATTTGGTTAAAGCGAAAGCATAATTTATGCAACTGAATTATCAAAGTGAAAAATGAATACATAAATCTATGGGGGGGGGGGGGGTGTGTGTGTGTGTGTGAAGTATTTGAGGTATATTGTGTGTGTGTTTGGTGTGGTTAATATATGTAGATGCTGCTAATGGTTTCTGGGTGATTCTTTTTTTTTGTAAATCATAATCATTATCGGACGCCACTCACATCGATAATTAATTTACTAAAAGGGGGAACTCTGCTTTAACGCAACATTTGATATTTATTTAGTGTACGAAAATCATTGGCTAATTCAGTTAGTCACTCTGTAAGCAGGACTGATTGGGGGAGTGGACTAGGACTAGCTAAGAGGAGGATATTGCTCCGATTCTATGCCATATACCATATTGTTAGCGACCAGGGGTACTGCTGCCTCTGCTGCCGGTGGTGCAGCCAAATAATGTCGAACTGTGGAGATGTTCAGGTTTGTATTTAAGGTTTCATTTATCTGTTTTTGACTCTGCTGCTGTTGAGGATGCTGTGTGTTAGTGGTTGAGTGGGTGAGCGGGTTAGTGGTGGGTGGGTTGAGGGATGAGGGGGCGCATGATTGATACACAAACTGAATGCCTTGTTAGAATTAGAATTAGAATTAATAAATGCGTGTGATAAATGCAGAATTCAATATTTTACACGTTCCAATTAAATGCAGCAATTCGAACATTCGGATTACAAATTAGAAACGAGAGAGAGATTCAACTGATTCGATTAATCAACGTAATGAATAAATAAACAAACATACGGGGAAGGTGGCAGGATGCAGAAATCAAGATTAAATATTTACATTCAATTTCAAATGGTCAAATCAAATTAAAAACTGGTGCACTTTGAAATTAGTTAAAGAGATGGAATCGAATCGAAGCGATGCACTTTTACGCTCACTCCGGCTACGAAAATCGAACACAAAAATGAAAATGAAGGGGAAAACGCAAACGAACACGTTGATGGAGAGTGGAAAATGGGAAATGTGATGTGCGACTTGAAAATGCATTTTCCTTGTGGTTTACCTCTGAGCTGTAGTTGTAGTAGTTGTAGTTGTAGTAGTTGTGGTGTGGTTGTTGTTTGATTTGGTTAGATTTTTGGGTATGAATGGAACATGGCGAACACGGGACAGCCATAGCGTTTTGCATTACGTCGAATTTCATTTTGCAGTTTGGTAGTTTTTTTTTTTTTGTTTTGTGGTTAAGAGTGTGTGTCGTGTTAAGTTTTATTTTGTCAATGTTAGAGAGAAAGAGAGAGAGAGAGATGGAGAGCACGAGATTGGAGAAAAAGATAGTGAAAGATAGTCAAATTAGATTTGCTTCAAACGTTCCCAGGACCAGCTGAAAGGATATGGATTGGCGCATGAGTGAGTGTGAGCATGTAAGCGTGCTGTGTGGATGAGAGCGTTTGTACCACATTCATTGTTTTCTGGTTTCATTGTTGTGGGTTCGGTTCAAGGGGTTTATGTCATTGTTATGAAATGGAGAAAAAGAAACGGAGAATTGAAAACAAAGGACCTTAGATTAATTGCTGGACTCAAAAATGGAGAACGCATAGGACTGGGTGGACTGGGGGAGTCCTCCAACCAAAACTAATCTCTATAGGCCAACGCAAAAACAAATCAAGAGACAGGATGTACACCGAGTACAAGAAGCATTAACTCTGGCCACCAGAACCACAACGAAACTGAAAGCAAAACCGAAACCGAAACCGAGACTAAGAGCCATCACCAAGTGCTGGAAAGTCTGAGGAATCTGTGTGACAAGTCCTCTCTTATCAAAAGCTTTTGGCAACCAATTGTGTCAACTTTAATTTTAATCACTTTGCAAGCTCTGACACAGATTTCTCAGACTTGCCAGAAGGCGGGGCACTCCTTGTGTGCTTCCAAAACTCACTCAGTGTCCGTGATGCTAGCCAGCGGCCCCAGTGGCTGCATGGGCGCCACCATGCTGGAGGGCGGGGATGAAGCTCTGGAGCTGTGTCGCGATCCCCCGCCGTTCAGAGTGTGCCGCGCCAGCAGGCCCGGATTGTTGACATCATTGACCAGTCCCAGACCCGGCGGCGGCGTCTGCATCAGCTGGGATCCGTGGAGCGACGGCGGCTGCGTGTGACTTAGCTTTCTGGCGGGCAAGTGGTCCTCCTCCGCGGTGTACGGAAAGTGGTAGCCATTCTTATCCGAGCCCTCGGACAACCTGTCCTGCAGATGATGTTGCTGCTGCTGGAGTTGTTGCTGCTGCTGTTGTTGGTGGTAGTCGTTCTTAAGCAGCGAATGCACAGAGTGCAGAGAGTCGGTGGCATAGGCGGGCTGTCGCTTCAGACTGTAGTGACCGTCCCTGGAGCCGTATATGTCGGGGGTGATGCGATCCTTGGAGAGGTAGGGTGACTCTGACTTGGCGCCCAAGTAACCGCTGCCCAGCGTACGCTGCTTATCGTAGATGTTGTCGCTCAGGTAGGCCGCATCCGGGTGGAAGCTGCGCATGTGGCCGATGGTCTGGGAGCCACTGCCGCCGCCCGGATAGTCTTTCTCGCTGCCATAGTGACTGGGTGGCTTGTAGGAGCCGTACTTGTCTGGATACTCGCCCCGCCGGCCGTACAGGCTGTCTTCGTAGCCGTCACGCGCATCCCTTATGTTCTCCAGAATCGAGGGCGGCATGTTGATCTTGTTGTGGTGCTGCTGCAGGTAACTGGTGTCCGTGAGATCGGGATTGGGCAAGGGGTTTGGCGAGATAGTCATTTTGGCCTGGCCGTGGACATGCTCGTTGTCGGAGCCTGTGTCCTGGGACCAGCGTCCAATGTTCGGCGGCGATTGCAGATAGGCGTCCGGCAGCTGACTGGACCAGCGGGGGGCGTAGACGGGCTTGCTGACGCTGGGGAAGAGCTGGGGACTCTGGACCACATTCAGCTCCGGCGGCGTGGTGGCCTGCACGTGCTCCGTGATGTTGGGCAGATAGGCGGGCGTTGAACTCACAGCGGTGCTGCGATGCGTGCCCGAGGATCGGGCCGTGCGAGATTCGTCGTCGTCGCTGGAGTGACTGGAGGCCAGCTCTAGGGATCTTCCGTCCGTCTCCGAACCGGAGTCAGAGTCCTTCCTCTGGCGACGCGGCTTCTCCTCTACACCCCGGCTACGTCCGGTTGTGGAGGACTCGAAGCCCCTCAGGAAGCTGGGTGCATCACTAGCAGAATTGTAGTTCGAGGTGGACGTGGAGGTCTGTCTCAGTTGGCCATCGCTGTAAGGACTTGAGCTCGTCTTGGCCGTGCTCCTGGAGGTGGTACTGCTGGCGCTGATACCTATGTTCCTACGAGTAGTCGTGTCGTATCCTCCAGCCAAAAAGTTACTCGGCCTTGCCGCCCCATTGACGTTATGGGAGCTGTTGCTGACCACCATTGACGAGTCCAGCAGGGGCACCTTGCGGCCCATGCAGCGCAGACAGGTTCGTTGTAGATTCTCCCGTACCCGCTTGTTGATGATGCAATAACCGATGAGGCAGAAGAGCGCATGGAGGAGCACCACGCCGGAGAGCAACAGACTCAGCAGCTGGGAGTGCTCCGAGGCGGCCAATACCGCCAGGACCCACATCACACCCATCAGGGGGAGAGACACCACCGACAGCCAAAGCAGAGTGCGCAGATTTCCAAAGCCCAGGACATGATCCTTGAGGGTAAAGGCCGCCTTAACGGACACAAATAGGATCAGCAGGTTCACCACGGACATGCCCGCTATGGGACCCACAAGCCACCAGACAACGGGCTCGTACACGGACAACCAGCAGCTAAAAGAGAAAGGTAATTTATATTATTTAAAATCGAATGTTATCTCTTCGGATTGTTAAACCCTTCTGGAAATAATACTCACAATAAGCTATTTCCGTACTCGTGAGCCCGAACTCCCACAGAGAGTCCAACGACTATGGCTGGTGCACCGTAGCCCATGGCAAAGTAAAAGCCCATCGGTCCGTGGTTGATGTCCCGCATCTCGGTGAGCATGCGGTAGAGATGGACGCAGTCCACCGTGGTCCAGCCAAAGGCCGCCAGCCAGAAGTAGTGCAGGCAGATGGCCGTCAACTTGCATGGGAACTCGCTCTCCAGGAGCTGGCGACGCGACTGCATTCCCACGAAGAAGAGTAGCTCGGCGCAGAAGACGCATAGCACTATATTCTGGTGGATGGTGTTCGAGTTGGTCTGCTGGCCACGAAGAAGCGCCAGGGCCAGGAGGACGCCTAGCAGAAGGGGTAGGGAAACCAGGAAGGCCGAGTACGAGGTGATTTGCACGAGGAGAGAAGGTTCCGGTATGTCCTCTGGATCTATTACATCCACGATCACCGCATAACTAGAGATATGGGTACAGCTGCAGTTCACCAGGATCGATGGCTGAGCCGCTGGATTAAAGTCTCCGTCAAAGTCTGGAATCTCCGTCTGGCAGCCCAGGCGAGTCCATTGATTGGTAAAGGAATTCCAGCGCACACACTGCGGGTTGGAGCGTGGTCCGAAGCGAGCTGCGTCCACATCCAGCCACATCTGCAGCTTGATGGGTTGCGCCAAGTGAGGAGAACCAAGCGACCGATAGACCACTTGCTCCGGCTTCTGCATCTGCTCCGAGGGATAGGTAATCTCCACCTGCCGCTTGACTAAGCGACGATCTCTATAGACTGCATCGTTCTCGCCTTTGGGCAGCTCTTCGCTGCCGGTGGAGCTGGCGCCTTCATAGTTGGGATTAAGCACCTCGGGAGAGCCCGGAGATATGATCTCCTCGCCGGAGTTGCCATGAAACTCGATGTCATCGAGATTGAGGTGAAGGTGCGGTTCCCTCTCCTCACCACCCTCACTGCTGGAAGCCTCTAGTTGTTCTCCGGAGGAAACTGGCGGAGGCACCTCGTGGGCAGTAATTCTTATGTCCTCGATCTGCTGTTCACTGCTGCTTGTGGGTGCCTTGGGCACATCAAACACCTCCACGAACTGCTGCTCCGTGCTCCCGGAGGAAGAGGATGACGATGACGCCGATGATATCTTCCTTGAGGGAATCTCCAGGCGTTGGGTCTCCTGTTCCCTTTCCAATGAAGGCACAAGGATCTGCAAGGAGAGAATGGGAGTGGCCAGTTCGACATCGACACCCCAGCGACGAGTGATGGTCTCATCGTACAAATCGGGCAAAAGCTGACCCACATCCTTGTACTGAGCGTATGCCACAATGGCACGATGATCATGGCCTCCTCTCCTGCCGCCCTGGGAGACCTCGTCGCTTTCTGGAGGCGTTATGCCCAGCATTTCCAGGGGCACCAGCACCTTGGTGTGCTGATCGAACTTGCGTCGATCCAGGATGTAGTTGTTATACTTGGGGAAGCTAATGACGGGCCGCTGGCGAGCGGAGTGCTGTAGGAAACCGCTGGTGTCCGGCAGCACCACGCTCTCGGTGGTGAAAGCGTTCGGCTTGAGGTACTTGCTCCGGTGGTATTCGCTAAGTTGCTCAGGTTCGTAGCCAAATAGGGATTCAGTGGTGACAATGTCCAGTCCCATGGCCATGTTCGGCTGCACGATCTCAAAGGGACTGGTGTAGGTGTCATGTTGGGATCGGGCTAGGACCACAAGGTACTTGTTAAAGGCATCCACCAGGTCCTCTGGCCCCCTTTGAATCAGTTCCGTGGCTCGGCGCCACTCCGACTCGTATTTTCGGTCCAGGATCACACTGGCGGCATCCACCAGGTTCTTGATGAAATATTTGTCCTGGCTGTGCGACAGGTTTAGGCCACTCTGCATCAACTCGTAGTTTATCAGCTCTTGGAGGAGGCCCTCGGTGACGAGAAGGTCCGCTCCATAAAGGCGATCGTGGCTGAACTTCAGTTCATCAGAGAGATAGTCCATTTCCAGTTCGTGAGACCACAAATTCGCGCCATTGCTGAGCAGGAAGGAGGACTCCATCTTGTAGCGCCGGCTGGGACGTCCTGATCCCGTCATCTTGGGATCCTTGCTGGATCCCCTCCTATCCACTGTCTCGCAAGCTCTTCTCAGTTGCTCTGCCATCTTGATGGCCACAAAGGAGTTGAGTTCTAATTCAAGTTTCTCCAGTTGAGAGAGTTGACGGCGCAGTTCCACGAAGGGCTCGGAAGTGCAGTTATACATGTCCGGGGTGCTCCAGCTGCCCGACTGAGCATCGCAACTTCGTTGTCCCTTTCCTCGAGCCGGCGACGGACATCCCTCTATGCCCACTCCTCCGAGGGGAGTACGGGGCCACCAAACGCCGGCGGCAAAGGACCGGGGGCAGGCATCGTAGACCACTTCGCAGCCGCTGAGGGTGACTTCGGCATAGGGATTCGAGCAGGAGTCACATCTTCTTCCTATGACACCCTCCCGGCACTCGCACTGTCCGGTCAGCGGGTTGCAGGCCCCGCTGAAACTGCCGATGGAGTAGCAATCGCAGGAAAGACAGGCTGTCTCGTTAGGTGGTTGGTAGTGATTCGTCTTGCAGTAGCACTGGCCGGTGGTCTTGTTGCAGTCTGGGTGGTAGCCCTGGGCCAGGTCGCATCTGCAGGGACCGCAGACCCGCTCACCCCACCAGCCGCCGGGACACGGTTGCTGGAGCTCTCGCTCGCAATAGTCGCCGTGACGGGAGCTGCTGTTGCACTCGCATCCGTAGCCACGGGACAAACTAGTATTGGCTCGGCAGACACCAGAGGCACAGGGTCTCACCGTGCAAATGGGTGCACAATCCGTGCCCACGAAGCCCGTGTCACACTCACAGGTCGCCATGTCCCAAGTGCTCACGCAGGAGGAGTGATTGGGGCAGTGATCCGGACACTGGGCACGTGAGTCGCAGCCGTCCTCCACATTCTCACGAATTGTTGGACGGGATAGGACAGACTGCCCCGCCCCGATTCGAACATCTTGAATGCAGCCCTCAAAGGGAGAGGCTTCGGGCACCGTTCCAATGCTGCCATCCGCACTGCCCATCACGATCTTGCCCACGTATAAGCCCTGAACCTTCTGGGACATGGGAACTGATCCCGAGCGCTGACCATAGTCTACGGAGAAATGGATCTCGGAGCCCTGCTGCCAGCGTATTTCCACTCTGTGCCACTCACCATCCGAGAGGAATGCTCCGGCCAGAAACATGGGTTCCCCATCAAAGATGTAGTAGAGGACACCTTGCCGCAAGCACACAGCAGCCGAACTGTTCTGACCTATTTGGATCTGCAAGAGAAAGGCCTCCCGCTGCCGCGTTCTCAACGAGAAGGAGGTGGTCCACGGAAGCTGGATGGGACGCAAGAGAGGATTGAAGCTGAGGCTACCATCTCCGGAGAAACGCCAGGGAGCCGGAATGTTGTCCTGACAACTGTTGCCCGCATAGCCCTCGGGGCACTCGCAGGAATAAGTTCCCCAGCCTTCGCGGCAGGTTCCGCCATTGAAACAGGGCTCGGAGGGACACAGCGGAGCTTTCTGTGGACAACCAGCCAGGGTGCCATTATCCGCCACGTAGGAGTTCAGGTCGATGAATCGATCATCGATACGCAGGTCCGAGATGCAACCGACGAAATCCCTATTGGCCACCGGGAAGTGGGCAGGAATGCGGGGAAGTCCTCCGACTTGTAGGGGTCCAGTGAGATCCAGGAAGCGGTGGCAGGTCTCCGTGAGCAGCGAGCAGCGCTTGTCCAGCTTCAGGGTGGTCCGATTGGCACAGCTCCATCTGTCTCCCAGTTGTCCCGACAGAGCTATGGCCGTGTCGCAGTTATCCAGAACCAGAGTTACGCTGCGGTTCAGGTAGACCACTTCGACTTGATGCCATTTTCCATCCGAAACCATGGACTCCTGCATCACAGACACACTGGCGCTGTGGTCGCCCAGGGAGAAGGAGAAGCTCACATGGCCCTCAAGGATCTCCAAGGCCACAAAGTCGTGCAGCTCGTTATATCGGCCGTTGTAAAGCAGCAGTCCGTTCTCCTGGACGGTGGCGAAGCGCAGCTTGAGATTGAAGCGGTGCCTCTGCTTGAGACTCTCAAAGGTCAGGAAGGAGTTGCGTCCAAAGGATCGGGCGCGCAGCTCACAGGTGGCCGTGTACGGAGGTGGCTGAGAGCTGGGATAGTTGCTCAGGCAGGACAAGCCTCCCTCACAGGTATCGGAAGGGCAAGGACGCAGCTGACCCACTCCAGTCTCACAATTCGAACCCGTGTGGGTCGAGGGACACACGCAAGTGTAACCACCCTCGCGTCTCACACAGGTGCCGCCGTTCTGGCAAGGATCCGAGTAGCACAAATCCACCTCAGTGTCGCACAGATAGTGCTCCTTGCTGCCCGTGAAGCCCTCTGGGCAAGAGCAGGCGAACGTGTTGACCGGGTAGATGGGCCTAAAGAGCACAGTGTCGCTGTGAATAAACTCGGAGGCATTGCCAAACTTCAGCACGGTCAGGCATTCCTCGAAGTTCAGACAGGGCTCTCGCACGCAGAGGTTGTCATCGAAGGGCAGGACCTCCACGGTAGCCAAGCGGGCCAGGATGGCCCTGTTCAGATAGACCCTCTCCTGCAAATACTGCGGCGTATAGAACTCCTCGTGGGACACATCCGGCCGGCGGGCCGAAAAGCTGACATTCAAGATGCGCGAGCTCACGTCCGTGTCATCCTGGATGCTGAACACGAAGATGTGCTCCTTGGGACAGGGAATAATCGCCGCTAGTCCGTCCAGGAAGAAGTTGAGCAGGGGCGAGAGAAAGGCCTCCTCCGTCATTTCGTTCAAGCGCACCGTCACCGAGTTGAAGAGCATGTCCTCTGTGATCAGACGCACAGACAGCTGCATGATGGCCTTGGCCTCGTTGATTCCATCGGATACGGACACCTCCATGGTGGCAAACTTGGGCACATTTGTGTTTAGCTGGGGACTCAATACCAATCCTCCTGAGCTGCTGTTCAGACGGAGCAAGTTGGCATTGTTACCCGATAAAATTCTGTAGTGGAGCTTGTCGCTTACGTCTGCATCAAAGGCTGGAATCCTTCCGATCTCGCCGCTGGGAAAGTGGTCCCTGAAGTTGTTGAAAATCACCTGGAAATCACGCAGCACGGGGGCATTGTCATTCACATCCGTGACAAGGATCTCGATGTGGGCATCGTTTCGCAACGGAGGACTTGCTGCCCTCACCACCAATTCAAAGCGCTTTCGAGTAGACTCATAGTCCAGTTCCGTCATGGTAAGTAGTTGTGCTCTCTCTGATCCCGGCCGTGTGACCAGTGAAAATGCATTGGAGTCGTCACCACCGATGATGGAGTAGTGAACCACCGCGTTGACACCTTCGTCGGGATCGTGGGCATGAATCTCACCCACAACCGAGCCAACTGGAGAGTTCTCCGGTACGTATAGAGTGATCTTATCGGAGGCAAAGGTCGGAGGCGAATCGTTTACATCCTCCAGGCGGATCTGCACCTCGACGGCGCTCGAAAGCGGCGGTGATCCCTTGTCCACAGCAATGGCGGTCAGGTGATAGACGGCAACGCTCTCCCGGTCCAGGCCTTTGTTGGTGCGAATAGTGCCCGAAGTGGGATCGATTACGAAGGAACCATCTTCGACATCGCGCTCGCTGAGCAGATACTTGATGCGTCCATTGAGACCCACATCAGGGTCACTGGCTGCCACCTGGATGACCGAGGTGCCCACCAATGCATCCTCTAGGATCGAAGCCTGGTACAGGGGACTCTTGAAGGCAGGTGCATTATCGTTCACATCCGTCACTGCAATCTCCACGTCAGTGGTGTCGCTGAGCGAGGGATTGCCCCCGTCCTTGGCAGTTACGGTGAGCAGATAGCCACTGGTAGTCTCTCGATCCAAGGGAGCATTGCTTACAATGGCTCCCGTCTGCGGATTGATTGAAAACGGATCCGGGCTACCCAATCCGTTGATGCTCTCTTCGTTCAGGGAGTACGTGATTTGGGCATTCACCCCCACATCGCTGTCAGTGGCAGATACCACCAGGACAGTGGTTCCCACCGGAGCATCCTCGAACACCGAAGCGCTGTAGGGTGCGTTCTCAAAGATAGGCGCAAAATTGTTGGCATCCGTGATGTTAATGTGCACTGTGGCCGTGTCGGAACGTCCTCCGGAATCGGTGGCAGCCACTGTGAGCACGAAGCGCTTCTCCTGCTTATAGTCCAGGGACTGAGCAATGGTGATCAGACCTCGGCCATTCTGAGAGGTGATCGCAAAGCGTCCTCTTGTATTGCCCGTGGTTATTTCGTAGTGCAAGCGAGAGTCCTCATCGGGATCCGTGGCTGTTACTGTGGTCACCGGAGTGCCTGGAGGTTGATCTTCACCGACATTTGCCTCGTAGTACTTGGGATTAAAGGCGGGATCGTTGTCGTTCACATCCTGCACTGTTATCACTACCGAGGAGCTGGCCGATTTGGGCGGCACACCACCATCCTTGGCCACCACCTGGAAGGCAAAGCGACCTTGCTCCTCGCGATCCAGTGGCTTGATGGTCTGTACCCATCCCGTTCGGGGATCCACCGCCAGTGGGAAGTTGTCGTCTCTCTCCGAAATGCTGTATGTGATCTCGGCATTGGCGCCTTCGTCGGAGTCGTAGGCCTGCACCCGGATGATGTTGTAACCCACTGGTACGTTCTCCAGGACGCTCTCCTGGAACTGCGACGTGTAGAACCTGGGCGCATTGTCATTTGCATCGATCACATTCACCAGGAGCTGGGTGGTGTTGCTCCGGGAGGGACTGCCTCCGTCTTGAGCACGAATCACCAGTCTGTAGCTGCGCACGCTCTCGTAGTCCAGCGGCTTCACCAGACTCACATCCCCGGACATCGAGTCGATGGAGAACTGCGACTGTGTGTTCCCGCCGATTATGGCATATCGAATGGCCGCATTATTACCCTGATCCGCATCCGTGGCCCGAATGTGGGCCACCGTGTTGTCCTCGCTGCCGCCCCACTGATCCTCGGGTACTTGGACGGTATAGGTGCGTTCGCTAAATTGCGGGTAGTTGTCGTTGTCATCGAGTACCTTCACCAGGACACTGGCAGTGGCCGTACGCCGTTCGCTCTGCGCTGCCGCCATATCAGCAGCGGTTACCAGCAAATGGTAGCTGTCCGATGTCTCTCGATCCAGACTGCTTCTTGTAGAGATCACACCTGAGCGAGTGTCAATACGGAAGATGGGTAGTTCCTGGTCCTGGGCCAATCCACCACCATCTGATGATGAATCAAAATATAAAAAAAGACAGAGAGAAGTTATTAAAAAATTAAACTTAGAAAAAGACTTCGCGAAACTCACCAGTAACTGCCTCGATTCCGTACTCGATTTCCGCATTCTTTCCTATGTCCTGATCGGTTGCTCTCAAGGTTATGACCGTTGATCCTACTGTGGCTCCCTCGCGAATGCTGGCCTCGAACTGCTCCGCCTCAAAGGTTGGGCTGTGGTCGTTGCAGTCCAGCACGTTGACTTGCAGCGTGGTCGTGCCAGAACGTGGCGGGAAGCTGTCATCTGTGGCCACCACCCGGAAGTAGTGGACATCCATCAGTTCCCGATCCAAGCTGGCCGAGGTGGTGACCACTCCGGTGCGGGAGTCCACTTTGAACAGCGACTGGGAGCGGGAGTCGAGAAGGGAGACCATGGAGTAAACCACCGGGGAATCTTCAGGATCACGAGCCCGCACAGTAGTAACGGCTGCACCGGCAGGCTGCTCCTCGAGCACGGAGGCCACGTAGAGGGCCTGCTCGAAGTAGGGCGACTGGTTACGCAGCTCCCTCCTCACCCTGCGGGCGATGTCCGTGTCGTTGAACTCCTGGTGGTGGTAGACGATCTTCAGGCGGTGATCCGAGTCCACAATGTCCCGTCGATCGCAGCGGATGTTGAAGGTAATGCTCACCTTCCACATGGACTCTGCGATGCAGACATCTCTGCTGGCCACCAAGTCGCGGCTCTGGTGCTCGATTGCGAAACGCTCGTCGTTGACATCCAGGAAGCTCACCTTGCAATGCTGGCACACAGACCGGGGCAAGAAGGCGTTCAGGTTGTTGATGAACTGCGAGCGCCTCAGGCAGATTTGGTTCCACTTATCCGTGGTGTGAATGGCATAGGAGGCGTAGGTCTCAGAGATCCATTGCTTGGCGTCCGAGATGCGACGATGCAGGGCTGGCTGCAGGTGCAGGGGGTCCGCCGAGGGCACAGCCCGCCGCTTGCGGCTCAGTATCCTGTGTCGCATCTCATTGTCGAAGCTGTCGCCAAAGATGAGATCCCCGGCCCGGAACTCAGTGCTGTTGTGGCGAAATACCTCCTCCAGCTGGTTACCGTCCAGCTGGACTATCTCCTGGGTGGAGCGCCGTCGCCGGCGCTTGGAGTAACCCGTGTTGTCCTCCTCCTCGAAGTGGTGCAGATGGTGAAGCTCCTGCTCCACCCTCCGGTCCTCATTGCAGCTGTGACCCGACACGAAGATCCGTACTGGCAGGCTGTAGTAATCTATGCTGCGCAGCCGGTTCGAGGTGGAGTCCACGTAGAAGGTGAACAGATTCGGGTAGTAGATGCCGTCGCACTTGAGGGCTTTCCTCAGCTGGATCTGGCCATCCTTGTGGCTGACCGAGACCAGGTGATGCACAAAGTTAGCCGACTTGTGGGCATTGATTTTGTAGTGCCGCTCGGAGCCCAACTTGTACACGGAGGCATTAAAGATGACGGTTCCGGGGGGCGTGTCCTCGTGCACGATAATCAGGTAGCTATGGGCCACCTGCAACAGGAGGAGCAGCTGCAGCAGCCCGAGCAGGGGCCACCAGAGGGACGTCCGCGTGTACATGGCTCGACCACGCGGCTGATTACGGTCGATGTGTGTGCTCCGGCCTCCGGGCGGGAGCGTGTGTCTGTGTGTGCCGGGTGGGTGCGGGTGTGGTGCTAGAGCCAACAAACCGCAGTGCAATTAATGTTCCTATTCAATTATCATCGGTGGGCGGTGCTGGGGACGTGGCCATCTGTCTGCAAGGCGAAGGAAAAGCAGAAAATATAGAGTGAGTGCGGGGATTTAAAATTGAATTTGTGCTGGAAAGTAGGCAGCGTAAGGAGCGGGACTTTAAAATCAATTGCTTGTTAACTCTCTAGCATTTTATAATGACAATAATTATGGTAAAAGTACTCAAATAATATCATTTGAAGGGGTTCCCCTTCCTCTGGTATTCTTTCAAAAATATAAGCTCTTGTTCTGCTTCTGTTTTGCCAGCCAGTTTTAATGCTGGCTTTGACTTAATTAAAAACTCTTCACAAAAAGGTCTCGCAACAACATTTTTCCAGGCAGCTACAAAGCAGCGGGAAACATTTTTAATTTCATTTTGCTCTTCCGCCACGAAGACTACCTAATATGTAGCTAGATAAAATGAAATTTAATCTTTTCCAGGACTCTGGCTCTTTGCCGCCGCTCAGAATTTGTGCAGCCCCCTTTGTTTTTGACATTTCTGCAAAACGGAGTACATACAGCTTAATCAGAGAACGGGCCAGTAGCTTTGACATGGCCGGGAGATTGGCAGCGGAGGTGCAGCCAACAAAATGCCACAATGTAGACCCGGTTAAAGCGCCGGTGACCAACTGCTGCCCGCTGCCCGCTGGCCATTCGGTTGCCGGTGTTGAAAATTTAATGAAATTCGATTTGATGGCCCTCTAATGGCCATTTCGCAAGCGTTTTGGGTTCGTTAATTAACTAAAGCCACCCAAATGAACACGTACTGGGTCCGAACATAACGCTTTTGTCCTGGCGAAGGGCTTGGCCCTGCCCATACAGGTGGAACGGTTGGCGAAGGTCATGGGGTTGGACTGGCAAGGAGGGGCGGAGCTTCTGGGGTCGTGTCGAATTCCATTCCGCATTTATGTTGCAACTAAACTGTTTGCTCATTGTGTTGCTCATTTCGATGCAGATAATTCGCACGTTCGCCCCATGAAAGACACGTCCTGCCTGCGTTCCCCTTCCTGGCTCCTGGTCATTGCTGGCATTGCGTATACGCAATGCGGGCTAGAGCATCTGCGTTTCGTGGAGGAATGAAAGCCAAACTGGCATAGGGGATGCTCCCTTTAGCATCATTACCTTAAACGTATTATACAATTGAAATTCATACGAAATTTTTTTAGTTTTCCTGTAATTTTCAAGTTTTTTAATAAATTCTTGCTCTTGTAGATTTACAATCTTTTTTCTTAACTCGAAAAAGCTATTAAAAAAGCTTGTTTTCAAAATATTAAAGTTTGGGGTAGACAAGGCATTAGGGGCATTGTTGCTTGCTCCGAGGACTCTTAAGGAGGAGTTCGCATTCCCAAGGAGTCATAACTTATGTCTGGCAGCTGCTCCTGTGTTATTTTCCGTGTGTTTTTTTCATTTCGTCGAAATCCCCAAGACTGCAGTTGGCGTGCGTGTGTGGCGAGTCGCTTGTCGCCGTGTTAATTGCAGTGTTAAAATGTTTAATTAAAATTTCAGCTTGGCCGCGCTGCCAGCAGACGTGTGCCAGACCCCGGCCCAGACGCTGTTATTGTTATTGTTTTGCCAGGCGACGGGGCGGCGCACCCCTCGACACTACTACTACTTTTCCGCTTTTCCGCTTTTCCACATTTCCACCTGGGCCCGAAAGCCGGGCCAGACTCTTTTCATGGTCCGTCAAGCCTGAAACAGAGGTGTGCTCGCGGCCAGCAAACATGAAATTATTAAATTTTCACACGTTGCGGGCACAACAATTCGAAAAGCGAAAGCAGTTTTTCCGTAGTTTTTCCATAGTTTTCCCAAACTAATTAATAATTTTTGGCGGCTGCTGCAGTTGCAGTTCTGCTCGGCCTGCATAATTGAAGTTCTCGGAAGCTAATTATAAATGCGTCATCGAACCGAGTTGCCATTTTGTTTTATTGCCACCCTCAGGTGGTCCCCCGGGCGCGGCAATCGTAATTCAAAGTTATGACGCGCGATATATGTACATTTGCGCCATATGTGGGGCTTCGGCTGCAAATGGGGGAAACTGTCCCATTTAGGGCCGGACAGGAGGAAGCCTGCCAAATATTTCCCACGTGTAAGGAACACCACCATCGGCCGCCATCAGGGAAATGGGAAATGCGACTGGGAGCGGTTCTGGAACTGTGACTGCCCAGGAAGGGTTGGCCATAAACACTCGCGTTTTACGAGACAACCAGCCGCCCCTCGAAGAGCACCAGCAGCTGGAAACTTTTTAAGTAGCCCCCTGCCTCGGTTCTCGGTTCTTGGTCCCTTGAAAGGTGTACCTGAAATATTATCCAGCCCTCCCAAAGTTCTCTCGTTCGCATTCTCCGGATTTCTTTTTAGCTCCGTCTTGGCCGCTCTTGCAAACAAAAAACTCGGTGAAGGAAGTGCAAACAGAGCAGGGCTGACTTGAAAATAAGTAGGAAACACGAAACGTGTCAACTTTAAGCTTGATGGAAATTTATCACGACCCGCCCCCCGACTGCGGCTTTTTCCCGGAGGAGGCGTGGCCAGCTTCTGAGCGTTCGGTAATGAGCGCGTCGAGGCAAGAGAGCTGATTGTGCTGATTTTTCTCCTCTGTCGCTGGCAAGGAAAACCCTGTAAGAGGCTAATGAAAATTGATCAACATTATTAGGGGGGAAAATGATTGTCTCCGCCGTCGTCGTTTCAGCAAAAACTTAATTGAATCTTGTCTAAGCGGTTTCCCTTTTGGGGCAAATTAATATTATTGCTTGTTTTGTTTGAATGAAGTGGCGAAGCTCCAAAAGGGACTGACTCACACTGTCGGTTGTCTGCGGAATTACCATAAATTCGTGGCAAGGATAAGGCGTTCGCGTGCCAGGCGGACATTAGCCAATTCGAGGACATGAAATGCAATAAAATTCATTGTCTGGCGGCAAGCTTGCGTGCCGGAAATGCGCCTGTCTCCGGTCTAGACACTCTGTTCTGCCCAAGGAAAACTAAGTGAAAATGCGAGAAAATGTCTGGAGAAAAACAAAATATAAAATAATGCACCTGGCGAGACGTGTGAGCATCCAACTGCATTAAAGCCACATTAGTTTCATGGCCCCACCGGGCGTATACGTAATGCCCGGCAGAATCCTGGGGGAGGCTGTGCATACCTCAGATGCCACCTGCCAAGTGCCAAGTGCCAAATGCCAAGTGCCAAATGCCAGACGAGAAGCACTCAGCTCAGCTCAGAGTGAAAGTGTATTTCGGTTGGCGGGAAATTAATTTCCACTCGCCTGGGCACCAATTAAATTTGAACGAGGGAAAACCATTTGAAATGGCCTTTGTTAAGCATGCAAAATGCAATCGAGGACGACAAAAGGAAGCTGCCATTGCAACGGAAACGGAGAACAGAGCTCGGGCACAAAAAGTTTTTCACAAACAACAAGAGCAAGATGGCAGAACAACAGCTCACACACACACACATACTTGTTCATTGAAAATGGGAAAGCGGAGAAAGCAATGTCGAAAGAATCGAAAGAAGAAAAGTTTCCTTTGTTGTTGCTGATGCTGCTGTTGTATCCCGCCGAAGGCAGAAAAGCAACAAGCAGCAACAAATGCAAGCTGCCAGCAAACCCCTGACCGAAAAACCCAACCCTCCCTCACACCCAACCGCCATTACAATGGAAAACCACCCAATTCCACCCACTGTCAGCCCCACAAACACAAGCAAATAGTACGGGCAGAGCAATGCAATTGAGCTTAAACGATAACATTGTCCAAAGCAATGCATATGTAAAGCTGCGGGAAAGGAGCGAAGAAATAATGTGTGGCAAATGCACTCAGAAAAATTAGATCACTTGTATTATTACTCTTCTCGTTACTTATAGATATATTGGTTATAGATTAAAAATTACCATTGTTAAGAATCTTTAGAAAGTAAATAAATAAATTCTTCAAGTTTCCTTTAAAGAAAACATCTTATTGTACATATATTCAGGCAGACCAACATAGGATTAAATGTAGTAGAGTATTCTTATGAATATCAATAAGAAAGACATGTTAAGGGAGTTACCGTTTTATGAATGATAGAGATAAGGCTTTACCATACATCTTTCCATATTCCAAGAACCTTATTCGAATCTAATTTGTTTATAAATAAATCATTAAAGACTTATTTATCCATGTCCCGTGGAATACACTATTTTTCAAGTGCTGAATTTACAAGGAACCAAGAAAGGGGAAGGTAACTTGACTGGCAACATGGCTTACAAATTAAAAGTGTGCCAGCGGCGAAACAAGTAGTACAGGAAGTGCAGCAGCTGAGCAACCGGCGCAACCGGAGACTGGCGGGACTTAGGAGGAGCAAAGGAGCCATGCGAATGCGAATTCCAAAGGACTTGCATTTAAATGCAAATCAGAGAACGTCCCCCTCCGGCGATCTGCTCGCGCTCCATTAGCGCGTATCGCCAAGCGGATTTATGTCCGCCTGCCAAGAGCCGCGTATCCGTGCAGCCAAAGCCAACAGCAGCCACTTGACATCTCCACTTAATTGTGGAACTGAGCTGAACAAAGCCGAGCGGAGCCAGAGCCAACTTTGCCCAGGCGGACACAAAATCAATGGCGTGGATTCGCTCCAGCTGCCTTCCTGCCGAAATTGCTTAATTAATGGGGGAAGAATCGCTGAATTAGTGCAAAAGTTCTAACTGGAGCTGCGCTGTTTTATTCCTAGGCTCCAGTTGTCGCCCGGAAAACTTTACTCTCGAGCCGTGCCGAGCAGTTGCTCAATTTCCGAGAACTTGCAGAGAACTTAAGGAATTCCGCTGCCTCGTATCCATAATTCAACCGGATACCGCTTCCCGGATCGATTCCCCACTCGGCCGCTGGTGAAGTTTTAAGTAGATGTCAACGCGCAAAGGATGCACAGGATGACCTGACACACCGCTCGCTGCTCGAATTAATTGCAGTGCCCGGAGGTGGAAAGGGGCAAAACCACGGCCATCAGGAGCAGCAGCAAAAGTGGCAGCAGCATCAGCAGCAGGAGCAGGAGCAGGAGCACGAGCAGCCACGACCGCCAAAGGAAACAAAGGATGACAAACGAATTGCGTAAATGAAATGAGGGTATGAATAAGTGAGGCAGCAGCCAGAGGCAGTGGGCTAAAATGGGATTTCCCAGGACTATTTCCCAACTGCACCGACACATACTATCCTATATATGTATATTGCGGATTATGGCCCCGGGTATACGGGCTGAGGTATGGTTCTAAGTGCGTTGCAGTTTGCAGTTTAACTTTTGCCGTCAAGTTAATTCAAATGCAGACACAGAGAGAGTGAGAGAGAGAGAGAGGGGTAAGGAACACTTGGGAAAATCTCATGATAAATGGTACCAGGCTGTGAGAGGGTGGTTCTGGCGGTTGACAAGCTTTTACTTTACTCTCTTTGCGGATTTTCTTTTGTGGCATTGTCATCGGGCCTGCTGCTGCTGCTGCTGCTGTTGCACTGTTTGCAATTAAGTTTTGTGTGTTGCGGCTCACACATATCGCTCTCGGCGAAGGTCCTTCAACGATAGCGACACTGGTGAAAAAGTCTATCCAATTAAAATATATTAAATTTATAAATTGCTTCTCAGAAAACCAGACTCATTATAATTTAAGATTGAAGATTATAGTAAAAATAAGAAATCAATTGCTTCAATAGCAATTCACCCATTTCTTTATGTGCATTCGGGGCCAAGTGGTGGCCATGAAGGGTAGACAACATATGGCGGAGCTTAATCAGGAAAACAATGGCTGCCATTGCCGCTGCTACTTGTGCCGGAAATGTGCTGCCACTATGCGAGGCTCCGACCCCGGCCCCGGCTCCGGTTCCTATCCCGGCTCCTATCCTGCTCAGGCTTTTAGCACATTCAGTCGGTGTGTGTGATGATGGCCAAGTCCATCCATTTGCACGGCTCCTAGTTGCGACAGGGAAGTGAATGGGGGCACAATGACAAGTTGGCTCTGAGCAAGGAGTCATGGGGATCCAAACGAATCGTCGGCAGTCAAGCGCAAATCCCATTGAATTTATTTTTATAGTTGTTGTAAAGTTGATTATGTTAATGCGATTTAATTCGCATCGGAGTCGCAGTTTTATGGGGAATTTATGCAATCCTGCCTATGAAATATTGCCAGTGATTTATCCTCCTGACGTCGGCAGCGAGGCAGCGATTTAAGTAAATTGAAAAAGGGCCCGGACGGGATAGAAGGGATAATCCCGCCAAATGGGAAGTGGGAAATGGGAAGACGTAACAGAGTTCCGCCAATGAGTCGGATCATTCGGATGCACATGCACAGTGAGTGGGATTTTCACAGAGTCTTGCTAAAAGGGGATTCTCTGGCATCCAGCATCCAGCACCCATTACCCACTACCCATCAGCTATCAGCCATCAACTATCAGCTTGGCAATGACTAAGACAAACAAGGAACACCAGCAGCAAGGCACTAAATGCAATTTCAGCTACACTACGGCAAACAGGATACACAGCCAGGACGCGAGGCAGCAGGCGAAAGACAAAGACCCGGGCAGATTGCAATCCAAGGGAAGACGGGTAAATGGGTCAGACTCGAGACAATGGCCGGGCATTATCAATATGTAATGACTTCTGCCGTATCCATCCAGCCTCAGACACTGGGCGTTTGAGCAATCCGCACCTAATCCATTAATCAAAGAGCCTGCTCTGCCAGATCCAGTTTGCTCACCTTTCAGGGGAATTACAGAAGAGCTAGCAGCAGGGGAGCAGGTGACGGCCATTCAATTGCACGTTGGCGAGACAATAATTAGCAGCAATGACAAATAATTTGATGGCAAATCCAACAAAAACAAACACGCGGGGAAACAGTGCCCATAGACAACACAGAGAGAGTGTGCCCAGTAATTAGCCCACGGCCGGGACTAAAATCATTTCCATTTCGATTGCTGACTGCGATTTAGATAAACAATTTCGCCTCCCGGTGTTTGTGTTTATGTTTGAGCTTGTGCTTGTGTTTGTATTTGGGTTCGGGTTTTGCAGCATTTGGCATCTCATATCGTGAACAAACAGGACATGGCCAAAAGGGTTCTCTCCATGTTGTTTTTACTGCGGCAGTGCCGCAGTAAGAGACCGGAAAATTATGTTGTGCAAGACATCCCAGGCAAGCCACAAGTAAATCAGGGAAAACTTTGCCATTGCCTTTGCCTTTGCCAAATATCAAATACACATGCTTGTCTTGTGTGTTATCTCATTTGAAATGGGATTTGAACTATGCCAGAATCGGTTTTGTGTAATTTGGCCCAAATGGATACAGACTCTTTGGTCCGCACTCGAGATGAGATTTTCATTTGTGTAAGCATTCGAAAGTGCATCTTGTGTGAAAGGTCTTAGTTTTGGCATGATGGTATTTATTTATGAATGCCTTGGTAACTCTATATGTGTTTTAAATCGTTATGAAGTGAAGTTTACATTTATTTACAGGGCAAATAGTGATAGATTTGATTTACCCTGAATTTAATTAGTTTAAAGTTAGTGCCAACACCATCAATATTGAATTTAAAGTGCAGCATAGAGCAGCATTGAGTTCATCATACCCCGGGAACCACAGCTACAGCGAGGGTATCTCAAGAGATAGACTTGATTACGCAAAAAGTCGTAAGCATAAATAAACACACAGTTGGCATATGAATTGCGGAGCAACAAAGATGGCAGAGAGTTCACATTATACCAACTTTGTGTGTGCAGCTCTCCCCTGACTCTCCCCTGTGTGTTTGTGTGGCGATGTAACTTGTGGTGCACACTTTTGTGCGTTTTAAGGGGATATACATACGCAAGGGTGTATATGTAGCCAGTACGTGGAGGAGCGGCCCTTCAGGCATTATTAATGCGAGTGGCTGCCACTTGAAGGGCCCTCCATATGCGTACACATGTGTGGAGTGGAGTGGAGTGTGGAGTGCCGTATCTTTTTTGCGCCAGCCAAGTTCTCCCTGGTAATCAGCCTTCGACAGTTGGCCAAAAAGTTTGTCAAGAAGTCTCGAGTGCCGGCGATAACTGCCGGTGCCCCAGTAGTGCAGGATAATCGCAGGATCTTTAAATTACAAGGCCTTAAAGCCAGCTCAGCTACACGGCAACTGCAACTCGTGGAGAATGGAGGCTTCCCAGGAATAAGGGATAAGGGTGTACCGGATGCAGGCTGCCTACGGCTGTGTTGGGCTACAATGAAATGGATTTTTATTGTTCCACCGCGACGACAAACAAATTGGAAAAGTAAATAAAACAAAGGCAAGGCAGAGCGGGCCACAGGCAACAGGCAGCAGGAAGCAGGACTCAAAGGATGGAAGGTGTTGCCAGCGACTGCGGTGATGGTGGGCATAAAGGACATAATGAATACGCTTAACTTTTAAGTCACGCTGAGCGAGATAACTTGCTGCGGAATAATGGCGCGAATAACGATGCTGACAAACAGCAACAGCGGGCGGGAACAACAAGGACAATGGGACCACAGGGCGGATGGTTTTTCCATAAAGCAGCCACATTTTCCGCACACTCTCGCCTCCATTTCCACTTCCTTTCTCCTACTTTCCCGCCCCCGCTTGCCAGCGCACTTTCCCCTGGTGGTGCTGCCATTAATGTAAATGAGACTCATTGAAATGTCAATATGACTTTCAATGCTTCAATGGGGCATGCTCGCAAACCAGACTGCGCAATTAAACCTAGCGAGTGATGGCGCGCTATCCACGTAGCAGCCACCCAGCATCCACACCCACTTGGCACCACCCTCCATTTTCAGCCCACTACGCTCATGGCCGAAAATGCGCGAAGAGCTGGGCCTTAAATCAATTGGCATACATCAGGCTCAGATCCAGGCGGATATACGAGGGGTGAGGGCCAGCTAAGAGTGGCCAAAAACTCATTAAACCGTTACGCGCAGTTGCAGCAAATGAGTCATCCGTTGGCAAATACTCTCTAACAGGCTAACACAGACGCAGGGAAATCCAGGGAGGTGACAGTGAAGTCTAAATATAAAGAGAACTTACATGAATAATATCTATATACAAATGTTAGATGATATTTCATTATGGTTCTTCATAGAAAAATCTATTTTAGTCTTTTAGCCTTGAGATTATAGCATAACTCTTCAACTTTTACTTTCCCTAAACAACCAATATGACTCGAAAACAATTGCCAGAAAATATGAAAACTCTCAGAAAGCAAACATTTTGACATTTCCCCAAAACTGATCAAAGCAAATATTCAATCTTGGTACACAGGGACTAGAACAATTTAGCATTTTATTCTCTAACTTTCCATTAGGTTTTTCTTTGTGCCGCAAAAATTCATTGGCCAGCAAAAAGTTTGATGGCCAGCAGAGGATTCCGGTAAATTGGTTTACCCCCCGCAAATGTTCACTGTACACAGGCACACACACACATTGATAGTTAAGCTTTCCCCGTCCCCCCTCTGTGTTCTTGGCAACTGTCAAACGCTAGCAGAAATTTTCACGAATTTGTTAGCAAATGCAATCATTTTGTTACGTGGTTTTATTACAGTGGTTGCTCTGTCGCCGTCGTCACTGCGATGCAAAGCCAATAACATGAAAACGCTCGTTTATAGCATCCAATGCCGAGTGCCGAGTGCAGAGTGCCGTGCGCCATGCCGTGCAACGGGGCGTATACGTAACCGTGTGCAAATATTGTCTCAATTTGGTGCTGTACTACACTTGGCTTGCCTTCGACGAAGGCCAAATGGAATAGGAGAAGGAGTAGGAGTAGGAGTAGAAAGCAGGGAGTTCCCAGTTGAGAGAGAGTTCAGTTCCGCCCAGTTGCAGATGCAAATGCAGATGCCGATGCTGATGCCGATGCCGATGCTGATGCAGGAACTCCCTTTCCTCGGTGTATGTGTGTGTGGGAAATAAACAATTTGTATGCGAATTTTGCCTTTGCCATGCGAGAGAACCCCATGAATATGAAAATATTCTACTTCCCTTTGCCAGCTGATACCCTCTGATACCCAAGGACCTCGTCCTGCGCGCCTGCATAAGCAAACAGTGAGGAAATTGAAAGCAAAATATGATGATGTTCGATTGGCAGATTCTGAGCGGCAATAGAGTCGAAAATCAGAAGGCACTAAACTATTCCATTCCAGCTCAATGCTCCCTCGGTCGGTGCTCGGCCAAATATTTGGCTTGGCTTAGCCATCTGCCCGAAATTAAAGGCTCATGCAAATGTCTTTATGCGCTCCAGTAGGTCCTGCATTTGTCTAAGCCGATTTCCAGGGCACTGCACCGTGAACCGAAACAGACGAGCGATAACAAAGCCCTTGAAGTTGGCCCCCAAAAACTGTACCTGGTTACTAGCAGCAAAGGGAAGAGATTGGAGCACTGATCAGGGGCATGTGTTCCAATTGTATACAAATTAGGCAACTATTACAACCTCAATTGAAAGTACCATCAACATAGAGTGTTTAAGGAACAATTAAATGTCATTTCGGTTACTAAGACAAACATTTTGATTAAATTTAATGTTTCATTTTCAAGACTTGTTGTTAACTTTTTTTCCGCTGCAGCTTGTTCAGGATATCCTGATGATGATGATAATTGCAAAAAACTCCAACAAACATGACGAAAATCGCATTTAATTAATGCACGAACATTGCAAACATCGCTAGCAAAACTCTTTTGTGCGGCGCGAATCCACTTCAGACATAACTCCAGGCAATACTCGTGCCAGGACTGTGGGAGAGAGCATGGAGGAGAAGGAGGAGCAGGAAGGACGACTCCTTCACTCCCCCTGAGCCGAGCTGGTCGCGAGCTGTCAAAGTGCTGCGGGCAAAATGGCGGCCGCTGCCTGCATTTGTATTAATGGCAGCCATGCGAGCTCTTGGCAGCGCTCAGGAGGATTCAGCGGCAGGTTATTTGACTGCCTTTGGCAGTTTCAAGTGCACGGGCATGTGTGCATAAAGAGGCTCTTCAGGAGGTTCGCCATCTCCCCCAAAAGCCTCCCTAATCCTGTTCAGGCTTCTTCTGTTGTGGCATCTGGAGAAATCAAAGTGTGTGAAGGGAAGCGCAACGAATGCTTGCATTTATTTTGCAATTACTCTGCTCGGGCGTGGCTCCTTCAACGTTTCCTTGCAAACTCAAATATAATTCCGTCTAATCAACACTTTAAGTGAACTAAATGCATTCTCAACCAGAGAAATGTTCGCCCGGCGAGCAAAGTGCCTGCCTTGCTGACCAATTAGCAAAGTCTAAAGGAGAACGAGAGCAGCGTGAGAAAAATTGTGAGCCAAGAAAAGCTACCATTAAAGGTAATTTTAATAACCAACAATGGCTTTCCTTTGAACCAGGTATACTTATATAACATAATTTAATTAATTTGTCAAAAATAAATCCAGTTAAATCATGTTTGTTGTAAACAATCTAAATGTAAATACAATTCTATCTTTGTTTCCAAATCTCTTGACAAATGACAATTATGAATACTTAATTTGTAGAAATCTAGTTCACCTGGCCCTGTGTTTTTCAGTGTGCAAAAAATAGAAAACGCAGTAGACCAGAACAGACGCGAAAATGTCAAGCGGAGGGCCGTAAGAAATTATAAATCAGGAGCAGGTCAGCTCAGGTCGGAAGGTCGTTGTGAAGGCTTCCGGCCAGATCCAGAGCCAGTGCCAGTGCCAGAACCAAAGACAGAGCGGCGATGGCATTGATGAATTTCGCCATGACAAGACGGGGCAATTAGCCAGGCGAAAGTGGCTATAATTAGGCAACCGGGCTAGCAGTTGCCGTGACCAGGCACAAACCCGGGAGTCCGCCACGCATACCTAATGAGCAGGTTTCCATCCGAAAAGGTGAAACAAAGTCAGCAGCAGCAGCAGTCAAAGTACCAATTGCAGTCGCAAAAGCCAAAGTGCAGCACTCAGCATCCATCGTCATCGTCGTTTCAGC